AAACACTCTTTCGACCTCATTCCATGATGGGTTATGATAAAACCTCACATACTGACAAACAAACATAATATTCCCGGCATGGTTGAGCTCCAGGATTGTTGGGTCAAGGTCACGGTTACAATTTTCACACATTGGTAACGAATCTGTATTGTCGTATTATCATACCTATTTATTGAATTGTTTCATTAAACTCATTTACAGAACAACTTTATATATATGTTTTCTGTCCCTCCTCATATTCCCAAACTCAACTCCAAACAGCACCATACATATACATTATTACAGTGTAATGGCTTGTGGTTGCCGGTAGGAGACATGTATTTCATTAGTAACACTCAATATGCTTTTAATAATAATTATTCTTGTCTGTACATTTTAGCTTTGTGATTTACTCGATAAATCGGTCAACCATGACACAGAAAAGTCAATGCAGCGTTTAAAGAGTAAGTAAATGCATCTTTGATTTTCCTTCCTACATCGCTTTTTTCCATTTACGGTCTAGTGAGTCTCAGTAAGCCCGATAGGATATTCATCAACAACTTTAAAATGAATGAATGAAGATGTCAAGTTTCCTGTGTGCCTGCACTTAGGACATAAATACTATACAAAGCGTTTAGTGGTCAAATAAACCTTAACATGAACAGTCAATATTGTAGATTACAGAAGAAAATAACCCTGTCCTCTCATTTTGATATTTCAGGCTAATATTCCTATAAATTGTTTTGCTTCAGTCAGTTCCCATATTGGAAAGCATTTCGTTTTGGACTATGGTCTGTTAATAGCTCCAGTATTTCATACAGACTCCGTGGAAACCTTTCATAAGGTACGTGTAATTCATACTAAAATGAAAATGAGACATTCTTATTACATTGTTACATATATATAATGATATAACATAAATAGACACATTATTCAACACTGTGTTTAAGAAAGTGTACTGTCATTATATAATCAACACACCTGGTACACATGATGTTTTATACAATCACCATACAACATACCTGGTACACATGATGTTTTATACAATCACCATACAACATACCTGGTACACATGATGTTTTATACAATCACCATACAACATACCTGGTACACATGATGTTTTATACAATCACCATACAACATACCTGGTACACATGATGTTTGTTACCATACAACATACCTGGTACACATGATGTTTTATACAGTCACCATACAACATACCTGGTACACATGATGTTTTATACAATCACCATACAACATACCTGGTACATATGATGTTTTAAACAATTGCCATACAACATACCTAGTACACATGATGATTTATACAATTACCATACAACATACCTGGTACACATTATGTTTTATACAATCACCATACAACATACCTGGTACACATGATGTTTTATACAGTTACCATACAACATACCTGGTACACATGATGTTTTATACAGTCACCATACAACATACCTGGTACACATGATGTTTTATACAATCACCATACAACATACCTGGTACATATGATGTTTTAAACAATTGCCATACAACATACCTAGTACACATGATGATTTATACAATTACCATACAACATACCTGGTACACATTATGTTTTATACAATCACCATACAACATACCTAGTACACATGATGATTTATACAATTACCATACAACATACCTTGTACACATGATGTTTTATACAATTACCATACAACATACCTGGTACACATGGTGTTTTATACAATCACCATACAACATACCTGGTACACGTGATGTTTTATACAATCACCATACAACATACCTGGTACATATGATGTTTTATACAGTTACCATACAACCTACCTGGTACACATAATGTTTTATACAATCACCATACAACATACCTGGTACACATGATGTTTTATACAGTTACCATACAACATACCTTGTACACATGATGTTTTATACAATCACCATACAACACACCTGGTACACATGATGTTTTATACAATCACCATACAACATACCTGGTACACATGATGTTTGATACAGTTACCATACAACATACCTGGTACACATGATGTTTTATAAAGTTACCATACAACATACCTGGTACACATGATGTTTTATACAGTCACCATACAACATACCTGGTTCACGTGATGTTTTATACAATCACCATACAAAATACCTGCTACACATGATGTTTTATACAATCAGCATACAGTATACTTGGTACACATGATGTTTGATACAGTTACCATACAACATACCTGGTACACATGATGTTTTATAAAGTTACCATACAACATACCTGGTACACATGATGTTTTATACAATCACCATACAACATACCTGGTACACCTGATGTTTTATACAATCAACATACAACATACCTGGTACACCTGATGTTTTATACAATCAACATACAACATACCTGGTTTTAGTTCATTGTATATGCATTTTATTATTTTATTATTGTATATGGATTTATTTGTAGGGTATTATCTACGTGATGAATAAAAATGAAACCGTGCCGTTCCACCCGAGTCCTTTTCCCCCAATCACTACCAACAACAAAATGCTGTATGCGTGGATTTCTGGGTACATGTTCAATTCTCTGACGTACCATGCTCAAATGCAAGGCATGCTGAAGAGAACTCTCACGAACAATGACGTAAATTGATTACTTAACTCTTTTTTTTTATTACACATTTATCTTGTTATCAATGTCCTTGCATTCACTGCATATATTGTGTAATGAACATAACCGATTGTCTGTGAGGGGCCATATTTGGAACAAATTTGTGAAATTGAATCACACAGCAATAGTAGTGTAGATTATTGCTGTTTATTCTAGTCTATTTATAGTCGAATATTGTCTGTTATAGTTTAATCAAATTTAGATTTGACTTGCCTATTTCTGTCTAGTCTTGTATATTTTATAGTTTGTTCTAGTTAAACCAAATCTAATCTAGTCTAGTACACTATATTGTGCAGTCGAGTACAAAGTCTAGTTTGGTCTGAAATCTGAATTTATCTGTTCAAGATAAGTCTAGTTCCTAGTCTAGTTTAGTCTTGTCTAGTCTAGTTAAGTCAAATTAAATAAATTAACAGACATGTCTTTAATTGATAACCCATAGTATAGTTTAGTATAAAGGGTATAACGTATTCTGGTCGAGTCTAATATTAAGTCAAGTCTTGTTTGTTGTAATTGAGTCTTAAGTCTTGTCCAGTTCAGTCTAATCTGGCTTAGTCTAGTATGTCAAGTTTAGTCTATTCTACCGTCTAGTATACTCTAGTTTAATACAGTTTGTACTCTATTCTATAGTCTCGTCTAGCATCTAAAACAAAACCTAACCCAAGACCTTTTCCTATTGTTTTAGATGTCAATATGACGTCACAAAATACATTTTGATAATCACAATAAGTAAGATATCATGACATTTTCGATGGAAAATTCTTTCATGCTAATTATTTCTATTTGATTCCACTTAAAACTCCATTCTGTAGTTCTGATCACTGATTGGGTGAATGAACACGTTGACATATCCTGATAAATTGAAATCAAGAAGTAGTTAATGATATCTCGATTTATATTTCAGTTTGGAGAAAATGCATTCCTGAATATTTCATGCAAGTTTGGAGCAATGTGCATTGGGAAATTTTTACCCCAGGTAAGTGAAAACGAAACCAAATCATCTAAACATGGTAGATTACGTTAAAACATTTTATAACTCGACATTCTGAACTGGAACATGACATTGGGGTATTGCTAATTGATGTTGATATTTATTATATGTTTATTCAGTTGCGAGAACATTTCCCAAATCAATATGTGGAAATAGAGATGGTATCTACAAAAGCTCCAGATATCGCCTTAATTAATGGAGAACTTCATCTTATAATGAATGGAAAAATGACTTTGTATGTGAGACCAACTTCCACGACAGAACGACATTATCTCTTCACAATGGATGTGGTAATGGATTAGTAATTCACTGCAGAACCATTAATATTTGGGGGAGGGGTGTTATAATTAATTTTGTGGGTACTCTGAATCCAAGGATACATATATCCATGAACTGTTAAGATCAGTATAAGAAGATTTATTAAGCTGTATAGTCCATGAAATCTAGTATCCAAGAAAAAAGTATTAATAACTTGCTTGTCTTTTGTTCATTCTTAAAAATCACAACAAATTTGACCTTATACAAGGTATAATTGTACAATATCTTATATAAAATCAAATGATTTTCTTAATGTCTTGATCTGCACTACCAACGCAAAATGTTACTGACGTAATTCTCAATCTAGTGCTGACACATTGATTTAATCTTTCTCTGGTTGAAATTTTAATATCATTTATGTAAAGTGTTAGAATTTAAATTAATTTAAGACATCCATTTCTTTTTCCTGTCAATGTAAAGGACTTGATGTCTGCAATTAAAGTCAGCTATGCTGCTGGTTATCTGCATTCCAAGCTTGGGGAAATGAGGTAAGAACTTTGGCCTATACCAGCAGGACGTGGGCCATTTTTATGTGAGCCCATTTTATTTACTAAACAAGGGACAGAGAGGAGTTCCAGTTTCTCTATATTCTCCTTTACTTATGAACCTTAACTGTATTCCAGTTAATATAATTTTTAGATAAATATAGAATATTCAATATCTGTTTAGGAGATTTCCTTATTCCCTTTTATTTGGGGACACCCATTGCATTTCAAATTCGGTTACTACGTTTCTGTTTATGATGCAACAATTTATAGCTCATAAGTCATATAACTAAACTTACGACGAAAATTCTAATTAATGAACAACAGATACTTTTTATACAATTTTTATGCTATAACCAATCCCTTACTCCCTTACCCATCAAATGTCTTTGCTTAAATAATAAATATAATTGAAAAATGTGAAAAAAACTTCAAGTGACCTTTTGGGGGATATTTTCACTGCATGTCTGATATGTAAAATTTTTATTTTGGATTAATGAACATCATATGGCAATTTTCCCTATATATAGTAATTAAAGAAAAAAAATGATTTGTGTAATACATCTATATTGTGAAATAAATAATGACGATACTACTCACAAAGCAAAAAGAAATTTATTACCCAAGTATATTCTCTTTTTTCCAGTTTCAGTGTCTGCATATGGAACTCCACAGTGCATCCACTTTATGTGAGTAACTACTTCCTTTATTTTATTAGTAAATGCATATATAAGAAACGCCAAAACAGCACATGTATTTAATGAATGTGTATATTAATTTGTGTGTATGAAAACATCGATATCAATATGGTTGATCTCATTTTACATTGAATTTCTTATTTCAACCATGAAACATTAGAATCATTAAATATATTCCGTTCCATAATGGTTCACCTGGCCTGAAGACTTTGCTGTGGTACGGCACCCATCGGTCGTTTGTTCGGTCGTCTAAAGACGACCTTTTGATGTCAACTTTTCCATTCGAACGACTCCTTCAAAATAACTACAAATGCATGGAATTATGATATGTGGCTAGAGAGTTCCGAAAAGAAATGTCTTTGTCTTATATTCAAGGTCTCAGGAGTCACATTTCTTAAAACCTACACGCACCTTTTTCTCAACATAGTGAAGCCCGATAGGGTTCGCAAAAATAAATGACTTTGAATCAAACTAAACGACACGGGGCTTAAAATATTTTTAAAAATTTCTCTCTCTCTCTCTCTCTCTCTCTCTCTCTCTCTCTCTCTCTCTCTCTCTCTCTCTACGCCCCCTTTTTGCTTTTTTCCTTGTTTATGTCATTTGTATACATGACTGACATATTATTTTCCACAGGAGCGCGCTCTCAACTTCATCATGCAAAACGTAGTTAAACAATACATTCAACCTGTGTTAGAGGGTAAGTGTTACATATATTTATATTTTTATGATGGTAATTAAAGAGAATGAAAAACAAACAACTTTCAGTTATAAGGTAAGTACAACTCCTCATCTTTTGATTTGTTTCGGCAGAATTTTAATCGAATAGTATCTACGATGACGTTTGAATGGATATAATAGCAACTTATTTGTTTTTTCTTAAACAAAATACCAGCATATGAAAAGAATCATAATCTATTTGATAAAACTTGGCAAACTATAAATAAAAAGAAAAAAATACAGGTGTTTGGGAAGACATCATCTACCATGTAAATTTTGGTTAATTCAAGTAAGTTTTGTTACGTTTTCAAATAAGAACAATGTATACAACAACGGATCCAACAAGCAAATTAACGAACATCAACCAAATTTAGCTTCATAACCAACAAATAAATAGAAAACATCTCAATGAGTTCTTAACGCCGACCGTCAAACTTCTCCATAATTTTCCTCATTATTGTTTACCTATACGATGTATAGCTCGTTCTAAATCATCTGGACCTGGTAACTACTTGTGTGTCATTTTTTATGCTGTATTTCAGAAACTGTTCGATTACGTATTCTTTCTACATGTTTTCATATAATCTTGGCGCCTGTTTGATTGATATCCTTTGATTGTATATATTTCCATTTTCTACCAAGCCTCAAATTGTAAAGGTCATCTTCTATTTCTAACTACTGGCCGTTTGAATGTGATCAATTCCTGAACAGTTGATGCCTGTTATTTGACAATAATAGGCATTAAGAGAGAACATGATAGTAAATTAAGCTATTGCGGAAGTGAAATAACAAATTGTATTCTCTGAATTATTTTTGCGACCAAAGTATCATTTACTATCCTTGTTAATTTGTCATCGATATGTATTTTGTACATGATCTTAAGCAGAAGTATTATAAAATGTGCATCATCAAGCCCCTTTATACATATTTGTATTGATAAAATGATACGTATTTTTTAATTGAAACTCCAAGCGCTATCTCATCAAAGTCTGATATGAATTGAATACTAAAATAAGACTACGATGAGGTCACATGAATAATTACACTCAGTCAGTACTTGGTCAGGTCATTTATATGCTCCACCGATGTCCTCTTTGGACTATTGCGTTATCAGAAAACGAAATTCAAGAAGACAAACGAAAGAAACAGTTGATCTAGCAAGTCGTTGATAACTTTTCCATAATCAGCCAATGTACAATAAACAAATAGATAGATAACCTACAAAAAGCAATCTGAATTTGATTTTAGAGTTAGTACAAGGTCCCATCCGATCTGATCTGATCCTTATTTTATCATTTCTTATGACATATTTGGATTCTAGGTGTTTTTATCGATACTTATTGAGTAGCATTGATGTGATCCTGAAAGTAGGAATGGATACAAATACAGATAGAACTAATATTTGTTTTGAAATGGGATATTCACTGGAATGTGATATGGATATTTCATTAAGTCGTTTGAAGCATTAAGATAAATAGTGTTTTTATTCCATTTTAAACTATTGTCATTATAGGTCAAGGAGCAAAAGGATTACCTCTGATTATAACAGATGACGTCAGACTGGTTAACACCGATATTCAACTGACACAGGTATGTAAGGTTCGAGTTATTTAAAAACATAGAACCTTATGGAATACTGTATTTCATTTTCATTAGCTGCTGTGTGAGATATGTAACATGCCATTCATTTTGTTTTATTATCAATATCTAGCCTTCTCTCCCATTTCTCTATATCCGTTCTTGGCTATATTATCATAATCACTTTATACATACAAATGCATTGAAATGTTTTTCATCAACTCGATAACTTGATAATTAATAGCTTCTGTAATAGGTATTTTCTTTCTTTATCTACAGGACGCAATCATGATAGAAACAGATGTAGAAATCGTTGAAGTCTGACTCCATTTTCCAAATGGCTGCCTGTGAAAATGGTCAGTTCACCTTCCTTGATATGACATTGACATATTGAAAGTCCTTTTCAGCAAATCATTGATCGTAATATGGGAGTTTGTGTATGAGAGAAACGGGACTCTTTTACTACTGTGGAGACATTTGCATGTCCCAGCAATTACGGCCAATTAAATTGCATTGAAATTGCAATACGTACAAAGAAAAAATAATTTTGTTTTTGCTATCTCAATGATATCCTGTATTCGATAAACATTTGTCACTACAATATTTATGGCATTATATATATAAATGTGTGTGTGTGTGTGTGTGTGTGTGTGTGTGTGTGTGTGTGTGTGTGTGTGTGAGAGAGAGAGAGAGAGAGAGAGAGAGAGAGAGATTTGATATTTAGTAGTTTTTTGAAACACGATGGGATGTCCTGTGCTTCAAAAGTTTTATACGCCAAGTCTTGTTCATTGGCAGGAATGATATGACATAATCAAATCAAGACAAAGAAGATGTCCTTTATAAATAAGTCTGATGGACTCTCGCAAAAAATAAATTCATTGTAATCGTACAAAAGTCAATTTAATGAATATTTTTAATATGTCATTTACTACGATTATCTAATGGAGCTTTATATTTTAATGGTTGGTTAAAAAATCCCATGTTATCAAATGAAGGGTTTTGTTTGTTGCTGACATGATTTATTTTAATATACTTTCTTGCTTGATTTTATTTTGTTTGGGACATAAACTGTAACGTATTTTATTGTTAACTTTTTGTATTTCATCATCATTATCATTGTCTTCTGCAAACAATTGATGTTATTTGTTTTCAGTTACCTAGATTGTAATAACAAGTCGTCTACCCCAAGATTATAATGAACTTGCCAGAAGAAAACTTCGGTTCATTAATTCGAAGTAAGCTGAAGATACATGACGATATGATTTTGTGAACTTAATAACAAATCGACTATGGAGATGGCTTAATATAAGATTTATAATATTGTTGTCAGATCCATTTTCAATTTTATAATTTGTGTATGTGTATGTTGTAAATGAAAATCTGAAAATAAAATATTGTTTAAACCAAATCGACTATGCATTTACAACGGACTTCTTGTGCTTCATTATAGCAAAATCAGTTTAAATGTATGATGAAATGATTTGTGATCATAAATACCAGTCTATCTTTGCATTGATAACGGACCGTGTAGTGACTTGAAATTACATTAAGTTTTGGGGAACTACTTGGAGGTATATGTGGGGTTTTAAGCAATGTACGTATCGATTTAGCTATTCATCATGTAAAAGTAATTTCTCACAAGATGATTTTTTCAAAGCAAACCATGACATTTAAAGCTTGATTTATGTAAATACAACAAAATGAATTGGATATTACACCTATATAACCATGTACCAAGCTACATGTTTGACAAGAGCAAGCTATGGCTTTGAATCTGACGTTTTTGTGAGACATTTAATAGCCGAAGTAAGAAGGACTTGACACATGATGTCTTAATACCATATGTGAGAAGGCTCATACCTACAAATAACCTTTTAGTTGAACTTCGTCCGTACATCGTCACGATCAATTATTATACACAATCATTTTATGCTATCATCTCATTTGTTTTGTTTTAACAATTAATATGTCTTTTGAAATTTGTCGATCTGAATTTGTTTTGGAGAATGTGAATAAAGCCTTAGTCCTTCATTCTTGTTCTTGTGTTTGTGTATGATGTTTTTAATAAACATAGGTGTCAATTTAGACTTATTCACATCATTAGTGCTGGATCCTTGTGGGGAGGTTTTACGATCGTCATTCACATTATCATATTTCCTTGTGTATTCTACTTGATTCCGTTGTTGTTTTCCTTGTCCTCATCTGGGAGTCTGACATTACTTACTTGGAATGACCAAGATTTATATGGCGATAGTTGTCGATGAAGCAGCAAATGCTTACTCATGCAGAACAGTCTACAGTTAAATCTCTCTTTTGTTCATATTTCATTGAATTGGAGTGTGGATTAAGGTTCTGTTGACATGTCGGCGATTTCGTTGTTGTTTAAGTTAATTTAGCAAAGCATTTCGTATTGTTTTTATTCAAATTTGCGCTGTCGTTATACATTAAATATCTTGATGTTTAAGCAGACCAAACCGCTGATCTGGCGGTGTAGTAGCAACACACCCGTCTTTTATCTAGGAGAACGGTATTGATTTCATATATCGAACATAAAAAAGGCTCAGGAAAAAAGTACAAGGAAAATAAGACCATGTGATCCATGAGTGTAAGCCTGTTCTGATTCGTCGATGACACCCGCCATGTAAACCTTGGTCAATCCAAGTCAGTATTGTCAGGTTCTCAGGCGATAACAAGGTATACAACAACGGAACCAACAGACAAACTAATGTAGCATCAAACACGTCCAATATCTTATACCATAAAGAAATAGAAATAGTATACTTCTCAATGAGATCACTTTGACAGCCGTAACACTTCATCAAAATTTTAATGAGTCTAAATCCTCTTAAACCCTGTGCAACGACCACGAAAATCGTGATTACGGAAGGCGCTTGAATGTCGAATCAACTGCGACATGATAACATCTGAAGGTGGCGATGGGGAAACGTTGCCATTCAGTAATGGAAAATGCACGGTAGGGAAATTGAAATAGTTGTCTTTGTGACCTATTTTAATAAGCTCTTCGATAAATTCGTATGAAAACAAAAACAAGTCTGCCAATAGAGGACAAAGTTAGTTCCTATAGGTATGCCATAAGTCTGGTGGGATATCTTACCACTAAACTCGACGAAGGTATTATCAACTAGAAACTCGATCATTTTTATGATATCGTCTGCTGCATATATCTTCGATTTGGGACCATTTAAACTATACAACGGCAATGACGCCTTGTTTGCAACTAAAGTAGGAAAGCCAATCGTGCAATTTACTTAAAAGTTATGACGGTTTATCTAGTGGATATGGTTAAAATATCTTGAAATATTTATAAGCTCCACATCATCCATCATGTGATTAGGGAAAATCCAGTGCTATATTTTTTGTGTCCTTGAACAAAGGACTTTGCCCCTAACTGCTTTGGATGAAATGCGTTGGGCCTTTGAGATGGTATTCTGTAAGGAAGTCATAAACTGTGAAATGGAGATTGCACACTGAAATTTCTAGGAGCGAGTAACCCAGTTAATGAACAAATCAACTAATTCCTTTCGTTGAAACAAGACGTTTCAATCAGTTGGTTTTCGTTAAAGTTATATTTCCAATAGCACTGATACGAAAAAATTATTTCTACATACTAGGGCAGATGTGCACGCCATCACTGTATACGTTTGTTGGGAAACATGATAACATTCATTATCTTAAAAAGTTATCGCTGAAAGATACGAATTTATATGGAACGTACCTATTCTTGACAATATACACAGCCATTTTACAAAACTGAGATCCGTTACTAACCTTAATTAATCTGAAACCTCTTCCTATTTTGTTTGTTAAAAATGTATTTAGAAAAATAACAACATCTCCCTTATTCAATTAAAGGGACAATTAAAATTCGTCCAACATAATCTGAGTTCATGAGGCATTTCTGGTTTCCCCATGAAAATAACTATCTAAAACATATTGATGAGTGTTATGATAAATACCTGATTATACAGCTTCGAGAATAAATGACATTTACTTCCACATAAAATTAGGTTATGAAGTTGATATTTGTCAACGAAATACTAAATATCTGTCAAGAACTCAAAGTTGACATGCCTACAAGCACGTGTCACAGGACACGTGTCTGATGGTAAATGTTAGCTGCCAGATGACACATTTTTTATTTGTTTAATAAGCAGTTAAATATCTATCGAGTGCCTTTCCACTATACAATTGTAGAATTGAACACGTAATTGTAGCTAACAAACATGTCGCAATGTGTTTTGGGGGCAGAATGTATTTGTCTATCTTTATTTTTAATAAAACCATCATGCGTTGGTCCTTAAAAAGTTTTAGTTATTGCTAGTCCTTGTGAAGTGAAGCACAGATATTTCTGAAATTTCATACCCTTGTTAACCTCTGTGCCTAGTTGTGTTTTAGGTTTAGGTTTTTTGGTTTAGGGATTGATCAGATTAAACAATAGATGACGGACATCCGTCTTAGATTTTAACAATGAATTTTTGTTATTGTAATTTCTGGAGAAGTGCTAGGTGGATCTTTTTTTTCAAATTTTGCTGCGCCAGCTTCATTTTGGGACATATTAAATGTGGTTAACAGGAGGTTATCTTCGATTTTTTTATGAAAGTTTGTTATCGCTATTTCTTTACTATTACTTACTTAATTTTACTATAGGATTAATTCATCTGTCGATACAACTACAACTTATACTGTAGAGCAGATAAGAGGCATTTAGAGAAAGAATCGAAAAGATTCAACTTACAAAGAGTCAGCAAAAACCAAATAATGACGTACGCCAAGATCACTCTGTGATCTCTTATTCAAAATATCTTCTTTATATACATTGTACAGTTGTTACCTGTTCAATTCACTTGTATCTTAAAATGACATGCAATTAAGTATTGTGATCTATTATTTACAATTATTATAGAAAACGGAAATCAGTAAATGAAGAATAATATAGAAATGTATATAAAATAATTAAGATGCAATATTGAAATATATATCTAAAATCTAAACGAAATAAACAATCGTGATGAGACGTTTGAAAGATTATGCAAAGGACACAAAAGTGAATAACATATCTTAGTTTAAAGTTAGGGTTTGATACATCAGGGCCAAAAATGAATTCAACGGCATCATAGAGCTTCGTCTCGTCAGTGATATCATATATCAAAACAAAAAGAATAAAAACATTTGTTCCGAAATGGAAGGGCAAGCGGTTTGCTGCTTTGACGTCAGCATCCGGCGTGATAATCTTATAATAGAAAAAATCTCAGATCTGACGTAGAACAGACCATTGACCTATGATAGTTTTAGGAAAGGGTGGGGTGATTTATTTGTTTGAGGTAAATTGAAGTAGGCCGTTGTTAAACGCGCATTTCCTACACTGATGTATGCACGTTTCCAGTCTACATTTACTACAAATATCATCTAAGTCATGTTTAGCATGTAAAGATGTATAGTCATCGGCGCGTGATCCAATGTCACAGGTCACAAGGCACCAATGGGATGAAAGTTAAAGTTATATTTTAATTAGCCAATTTGACAAAGTCGGTATCTAATTGACGATGTTAATAGTGACATTTATTGACTTTCACGTGGTTTACTAACAGGCGTAACAGGCCTTCGCAACGAGTAAAGCAACTTCCGTCAGGATTTAAGAGGCAGTGCGATCAAACTGTATCTTCAATATTAATTATATAGAAATGTAATGAAATCAGTCTTTTATATTAATGATTGCACAAAAGGCACATTAGTGAATAACACCTTTTCATAACATAACTTTCCAACATGTCTTCCCATTTCAATTCATGAATAATCCTGATGCGGTTTTTTAGTCCGTTTTAATCAAGAAAAAAAAAAGAAGAAACTGAAATGAGAGTATTACTTACAAAAATAAAGTGGAGTTTGAAATCATTCAAATCTATTGCAACATTTAGATGACTTTAATAATGATATAACATGTATATAAAACATTATAGTTATAAGAATAAACACATTGTATGTACATTTGTATGCATCGTAAAAATTCACATTCGTATGCAATATTTCAAAGGCTTTCAACACAGAAGAAATATATTACTTCATCTCAAAATCATTAAAAACCGCGAATTCAGTGAAAACAAACAATAACATACTTTCATCTAATATGTTTTCTTATTTTCAGTAATACCCGGTATACATTTTTATTTTTGCTTTTAGAAAATCGAAGGCAGAAAAGATTGACAAAACAATGGTATTTCTAAGACACACAGCCTATAGAAATTCTACTGATTTGTTCTAAATCAACATTATTGAAAATATTACTATAAGAATCAATTAAATCAACAGAATTTGGAATGTGATTTTTATAGAATTTCTAAATGACCGCGAGTCGGTGTGAATACCAGTTGTGTCAATGTGACAGGATTCTTCAGATGAGTATTGAAATAGATTGTTTTAAAAACTAATTTGACAATAAACGATATATTTTAAAAGACTTTTCAATATATTTTTTTCAATAATGCTCAAACATATCTATATGACTTGAAATCGTCATTAATATACAAATGTCGTTCTGATGAAAGTTTATATATAACAAATATGTAAGAACAAATTTCAAAATGGCTTGAGCATTCAAACACCATCATAAAATTATTATATGCAGAAAAATAATGCCGTTTTTTCTCATTAGAGTGAATGAATCTTCAAATTATTTATTTCAGTGGAAGTTTATTCAATGCTTGAGAAAAATCCAGTTCCCCTCCATAGTCCCTTCTCATTAATTCGAAACTGGAATAAATCGCAACCAAATGTTAGAACCTGTCATTAAGGTGTCTGTTGCACTTTTCGAGATCACAACCCTGTTATAATCTTGATGAACTTTGTCAGGTGTAAGTATCTGGTTTCATATTTCAGTCAGGTCTTTTCCTATGTCCACAGCCATAAACAGCCATTAAATAGTCTAAATAATATGCAAATGTCGTTAATGTCAATCAATCATTATGCCCATTAGGATTAATTAGTAGGCGAATTCGTTCTGACCTAAGAATAGTTAATTGCTAATTATTTTTATCAATTACATTCAAAGAACAAATTCTAAAAATGTATAAATAAAACTGTCTAGCTTCTATTGCATACCGTCATAATCATATGACGGAAATTTGTATCAAATTAGCATAATATATAATATAAAGTGTATGAACTCTACTGCCTTGTGCATTCACTAGCTCTTCATTGCCAGATTGGATCCGTCATGGTAAGAGATATAGTATTGTTCAAGTCTGTCAATCATCAATAATGCATCAACGTTTTATCTAAATGATACGAAAATAATATCATTGTATATGTATGCAAGAATGATATCACAATTGCGGATGTTCCATGAGATTTTCCAGTTGAAAACAAACTGCTTTATCATTTTAGATGACTGAACAGTAAATTGTAAGATGTAATTTCATTCATAGAATTATTCCTTGTTAAATGTCCCTGCTAACAGAGTATTGGTTACGGTCCACACTCTTGGTAGAAATATTGATAGGGGCAAAGTTATAGAATATACAAAGTTGACGCAGTTTTAAGCAACAATTTAGTTTTGTATCATTTCATCACAATACAATAACAAAACGAAATGTAAATCGTTAGTACGAATCTCAGATAAGTTCACACAATCATTTAGTTCAATATTTATTTCATTTCACAATTTTTCACACTGAAAAGGTTCGCATAAGTGATATGTCGAGTTTCTTCTTCAATGTTTTGTTACAGTACATGTTTCCCTTTTGTTTCGAACTTTGGCATTTTTTCAAACATGACCTTTAGTTTTGTTTTCTTTACTTTGTGAAAGATTTCCGGAAGTATGTGGCTCGTCTTCCTTGTCGCAGTACTTCTTGGGTTTATGACCGGAACAACCAATGGCTTTGTCGAGCAAATATCTATGCCGGATGAGTTGCAGGAATGTTACAAATATCAGACACAGAACATAGATTTCACTCAGAAGCCTTCCCAGGAGATAAACATGTTCTGTATTACTCAATACCTTTACAAGACTGCCCACCTTCGGCCACAACGACCCGTGACAAACGAAACCATTGCCTACGTTGGTGAACTCATGCGACGGGTCATCAGCAAACACGGGAAAAAAAGCAATAGGTCTAAAAGGCAAGGTTTTCCTGGTGCAAGCATTATGGGTGTAAGGAGAGAAATTAGAACTCTTTCACGTCGGGAATGGGACACACTCGTGTACAGACTCAACCAACTTCAGCAACCAATTGTGAGTAAAGTGATGCCCTAAGAACGTTTCCATTATAAATTTGTTTTCCTCATTATTTACACTTCAATGTACGATTATGACATGGCTGCCGTGACCTCGAAGTGATTTGAAATCATTTGCAACTTTTCTGTTAACGTTGTTAAATTTACATGGTCATGGAATCCTGGCATACCCTCGAGGTTTTACGGCACGAATTTGAAACAATTCAAACAATGTAATCTCGAAACAGTATCTTTAAACACACTTTATGGTAAGTATCTTCTGCTTTTTCGTGACACGATCTTAATATAACTTTAACATACCAATTAATGTCATGTTATCTAAAAGATAACTACGGTAAATTAAACGAAACCACCAAACACCACATCAAGCCAAACTTTCAGTCATATATGGTGATAAGACAGATGCGAGCTGTAATTTTGTTTCGCGTTACTATACCTATTTAAGATTATATTTACGTGTTCAAGTTATTTTCAAAGTCTTTTATTTCATTCCAAGTGCATTTTATATTCCTATAAAATCGGTGAAAGTCTCGAATTGCCAGACGGATTACAATGGTGTCCATTTCCAGATATGTATTGTTCCTTCCGCTTTCGATTCCACACCTTAGGGCGGTGAAAAAAATTAGTAATCTAAAACGGTCGAAGCACCGATATGTTAATGTTTTAGTTAGTTCTTTGAGACTAGTCATGTTGTTTAATGAAACCTTTATTTCTACAAGAAGATGACAGTTACTAAAATCTTTTAAATATTTTTACTATATCTGTGTCACACCAACAATTATCAACGTTACAATATACGATAATTGCTTAGCCATACAAAGCAACACATTTATTCAGAAATTTTCTCTCCGATTAAACAAACAAACAAACACCTACCTCTCCTACCCCTCCCCTTCCAAAAAATATTCCTTCAATTCCTATAATTCACGCAATCTCCCAGGACCTCCTCGCGGCTCATAGATAAGGTAGTATGTAAATAAGATGTTATGTAGGGTTCGTTGGGGGTTAATATGATGACCTCAGCTGTATAATACGCAATTACACAGCAACAATTGTATGCTAATGGTGTGCTTAACTGTCTATCAAAATGACCATGCTTTCTAAATACATCACGTAGGTGAGCTGTTTGTGACCTGAGATGAGTAATATACCAAGTTGTTATTCAGAGGTCATGTATTAATACCTAATATGCCTGTCATCGTTATCACCATCATTGTCTTTGTTGTCAAATTGCATAACAATCACTCATTTATAATTATCCCCCATTTCAATTAATATGATGGATAAATATATGAGGATGAAGAACGTCAATATTTTTGGTTCAGTGGATCTTCTACTAGAATAGCATTTTCCATAATAATAGCATATGAAACACTGAGTGAACTGTCTCCTTTCTTGTTGCAGTTAACCCCTGGCCAGCCTCCCTTCGTGCCGTACTACGCTATTTGTGAAATGCACATGTCCCCGGCAATCATACAGGCGGCTCACAATGGACCTAACTTCCTCAGCTGGCACCGAATTTACCTACTCTTGTAAGTAATATATGTTGTAAAAGAAAGGCATTCTATCTAGACATGGTGATTTTGGTACCCTTGTATCCTATATCATTGGACAAGATTCTGTTTTCTATTTTTTTAATATCATTTATCTCATTACAATAACAAGTATGTGATCAAAATCAAAGTATCTTTCAATTAGCTGATGTTATTCAAAATATATCAGTTTCCTTCTTTTCTCTGTAGAATTCAAAATTTGGTTGTTTTTAGATTGGAGGAAGCCTTGGGAATGCCAATACCATATTGGGACAGTCGTCTTGACTACAGAATGCCACAGCCTACAGACTCCATTGTGTGGACACCAGAGTTCTTCGGGGAAGGATTCGGAAATGTAGCATCTGGTCCTTTTGCCGGATGGCCCCACGTTCCGTCCCCTGATCGCGTACCTCTTCTCCGCAATATAGGAAATGACGGCTCTTTGGTCAGTGATAGAGCAGTAAATGCTATAATGTCGGCTTTTAGTCATTTTGACGTCACCGAGCCTGCCCCGCCACCTCAAATGACCTTTGAGGCAATTCATAATGCCGTTCATGTTTGGATTGACGGTCAAATGTCTGGAATTTCGACTTCGCCACAAGACCCTATCTTCTTCATGCATCACGCGTTTATTGATTATCTTTGGAGTGTGTTTAGAAATGTTGTCCGAAATTCCGGTGTCAACCCAGAAAACGATTATCCAAGAAAAGGAAATAGAATTCACGCTCCGATGTCACAAATGATTCCCTTCAGCTTGATGAATATTCAGGGTTACCGCAATGACATTGAATCTCCATATGCACCATCTCCAACTTGCCCAGAATGTGGCGGTAGCGAGTATCTACAGTGTGTACCTCCCGGATACTGCGTTTCTGTCAGTGGGTTCGCGCCTGGTTTTTCCAGCACACCACGTGGACGTGGATCACGGCCAGTTCCAGTTAGGCAAAGATTTGAAACTGGACTACGTGATCCTCGTACGCGAGGGGAGGCTACCATGACCACCATTGCAGGTCGAAGGCGAAGAAGCGTAAGAGAAACAAACAAAACGACATCTTTTTCAAATGACGCGTCGCAGATGAACAACCCTTATCAAAATACATTTGTCATTGACGGAGTCAGTGACGTCAACAAATGGTCCTTCGTTCCTGTTAGGATCATATTTGAAAGACCACCTGAAGCAAAATTCGAATCTTTTGTAATGAAAGATGGGAAATTAGTAAATAATACGGATATGTTTTCACCATCAAAGTACAATAGTTTTAAAGTTGAAATAAAACAGAAAGTTCCAGCAACTTATCCCAAGTGCCACATTTCCGGTTCCGGGGCATCAAAAGTATTTGTGCAAACAGACGGACTTGATTATTCTGGTAGATATAAAGATTATGCGGTTGTAGATGAGAGACTTCCTATTTCTGCATCTATGGCTTACGTTGGAGTGAAACGCCCAGAAAATGGTGCAGCTAAATTTTACATGACAGCTTACGACTCGTGTGGAAGAGTCTGCAGACCTAGATGTCTTGTAAATGGAAGGTATCAAGAATGTTCCGGAGCTTTTCAGATCTCAACAGCATATCCAAAAATGTACGGAAAGACATATGAAGAAGCTGTGCAAGGTGTTTGGACAATAGGTGATCAACTTCTCGCTCAATCTCATTCAGCCGAGATCCCGATAGCTTTCATTTGTAAAATCACAAATCAGTGGCCGTGGCGGTTATAGGGTTATATGTTATGAGTGAAGTATTAAAAAATGGAAAGGTATACTCTTGTTTGCTTTTTCATATTAAATGTAATAATAGTAACTTCAACTGTATTCAAGATATTAAAAATTAATGTTAAAGAAACATATGTAGATACCCGGCAATAGATCAATGGAATCACATTCGGTAACATATCAACGTTGCAAGTGTTTATTTATTTTTTTTAATTTATCTAGGAAATCCCTCTCGTTTTAGAGTTAGCGTCACGTGCGCTACCTTTTTCTAGTAGACAGCATGAGGTCTGTGGTAGAAAATTGTCAATCGGCGTCAGTACGCGGAGCGCCATTTAAAGATATAAAATAACTTAAATAGACATTGATAACGGTAAGCATACAATAATTAATGTCTGTTATAGCTGTTGAACATAGCATGGCTTTCAAGAGAAAGTAATAACGGACATTATTCTTTGATTAAGTGAATAAAGCGAGCGCTTTAGTTCTCAGATATTATATCAACAATGAAAAAGGCTTCTTTCGAAACAGGTGTTTCTGAGAAATGGTGTCCTTCGTTTCAATCGTTTTTTAAGTATATATGCAATGCAGAAATATTTGATAGTAACGCCGTTAGAGCATCAAAGGTGCATGGTTCGAAGTCATGTACCTGTGAAAGGAATGGTTATGTTCTTGGATACGAGACTTAATCATATTTGCTCTGGATGGCATGTGCCGGGCCTCATATATGTTGTTTATGACTGTTCATAGAGCGATAAAGGCAACTAAGGCAAAATTCCATATAAGGAATGGAACAATTAGTACAGCTGATAGGATTAATCTTGTTATTTGCTAAATAAAATCTAGAGTTAAAACTGAAAGAAAATCTAAACCACAAAATAAATATGATGAATAAAAATAAAATAAATAAATGTAATTCATAATTTTGATTGTAGCAAATTCCAACTTTCGCACATGTCTTGTGTTTCAGTGAGGTTTGCAGTGGAAATATTTATTGTAAATAAGAGAATGGTTATGAAAATAAGGAGTCTCCTCGATAGCATATTACCTAATATAAATATATGAGGTAATATTATGTGCTGTCTTTTAGTTCCAGCAGTTCTGATCTCGTTGCATAAGTCAATATGCAGCAATAATCATTCGCTTCTGCCAGCGTAAGGAAATGTAGAAGGTTAGTGGCATGGCTTTTATATTTTTGTAGACCGACAGTTATAAAACATATTAAAGATAGTTTCTTGTCCGTCAGACTTTCTCAGAGTAACGATTTTAAAAGAAAAAAATATGGGTTGTCTTTTCCTGGGTAGTTAAAGACAAGAAAAAATAGAAAATGATAATATAGTGTTTTTTAAGTTGAATTTTTAATGACAGTTTAATGTCATGTAAATAAACTAATTATCAAAGTATTCTATTGTTTTAGCACAAGAGTCAACAATATAAAATGTTTTTTTAAGTTCAACAGTTTTTCAGAAACTTATAGGAACTTACCTCGTTCACCGGTGGGTATACACAGAATCACTGACTTTACTGTTCTCTGTTGTCTAGACCAACCATTGAATTAAAACGTAAGAATGGAGATTCACAGTCCTGGGTTATTGTGTAACAGCCTTGACAATCACGTATGCATGCTACAAAACAAATAGATGCACGTTTATGTCACTGACCTGTCATGAACTTAAACATACAGGAAAGGTTGGAAGAAAATGAAAAACGAAAATTTAATGTTTCTATGCTTAAAAATAACTACAATGGCTCTGTTAAGCTGTACAAACACAGCTTACACAGTTTGACCTGTTGAAATAAAAAATGAACAAATATATCTTTTCTTAATTCGCTATCATGAATAATAGTAAGTACAAAAATAAATCTGAGATTTATTTAAGTGGAAGATGTCGCTGATAATATTCGTCATGATAAACAAGGATGAAAAATTGCTATAATTAGTCAGAAATATTACAGATGAAATTCCTTAATATCTCATATGACGAAAATTAGCAAATATATATGACAAAAATATTTGTCGTATTATACAGCCATTTTCATACCACAACCCCATCATTCATATTAACATAATCACACGCAATATAAACATAACAAATGAAAGCGGGCTTTCCCCGTGAAGACTTTTCTTCTCTTTGTGAGAAATGAGGTCAGTACCGACTACGATATCCGGATAAAATGTTCTCATATATAGGGTGTAATAAAACAAATTGTTTAGTGATGTATGTGTTTTAGTTGTTCATTTATGGAATTGTAAAACAAACTGTGTTGAATGTAAACTTTGTTTTTTGAAAAATGTCAAAATAGAAAAAAGGAAGGAAGGTTTCCCTAAATTATAACTAGAATATTGAACAAAGGTTCATATCGATGAAGCGTGATTCACTTTTCTATTTTCCTGTGTCAAGTTCTATGCTGTTGTGCTGCCTTTATGATTTGGCATGTTCAAACAGATGAAAACTGTGTCATGAGTATGAATAATTACTTGTAATGTAAATTACGTGAATGTATTTTGGGGTCATAACTTCACTAGGACATCGTGCAGTACAGTTAATTAATAATTTCGAGTTGTACTAGCTTAACAAAATATGCATCCGGGGTCAGGGCATTTTGTTTATGAAGCACTTCATATGTCATCTTGCTTTAAATAAGATAAATGTCCCGCATGTGTGCTTCCTTTATTTTTTTTTCAAATTGAAATGTATTTACAGGAGATCCGTTTACATCACTTAAGTATTAGTAAAATATAAATCCGATACGATACTGCAAAGGTAGTTGTTTTGCAATAGTTCATCATTTTTCCGATGTTGAGTTTACACAAAGATAACAGTGAAAATGATGTTTCTTTTAGCGGGAGATCGTAACACAGACTATGATTTTTTTCACATTTTTAGGCTAAACGTACTCAGTACGCATAGCCTATTGCGACAGCCTTTCAGACAAAATTCACCGTTCCTGGCCTTCTCATTGGCTGAAATATCGAAAAGAGTTAGAGCCCTCTAGCTGCAATTTTCTGCGTAAATAATGCCGCGATTTTTTAAATCGCTATTTTAAAAGCATCCAAAATTAGTTTATTTTTTAAATAACAATACGATTACTCTATAATTCAAAAAAGAAGCAGAGTGTGGTTGAACTATTGATAAATTTTGAACAATATATTTTACGGAATTCTCGACATGACGTAAGCGTACAGAACACTGTACGTGCGAGTTGGCACCATGATAAGAAGCTAGTCTGGGGGCTTGGTTTGAATTATCAACTTACAGCACTTATAAACAAACTAAACTTACAAACAGAACATCAATTTTGCTTTAATCCTTGTCGTTGTGGCAAGATCGTCTTAATATATATCATCACTTTACCTCATTAGACGTTACAAAATTGGACTGTTCGTCCTACGGGCACACCTGCCGATAAGACACTTTTTCAGGATTTTCACACCCACCGCCATGACACTTTTTCAAGTTTTTGAAGAGAAAAAGTTTGCGCTTCGTAGGCAAGGTACATTTGGTGCTCATAATTTATGAATGATTTATTCTTAATACTGTACTGATCATGATGTTGACTTTGTTATAACTTATATTTTTTGTCTTTTAGTTTTATTTGATGAAAGTTGATTGTGCTGATTTCTCAAGGTTTGTTAATGTGTATCAAAGTTCCTTGAAATAAAAATATTCCTTCAAACAAAGCGCGTATAAAAAAACCCAAAATATTCATGTTTATAATTATCAATTAACTAAAACGAAATATTTCCATAACATATTTATTTGTGTAGCGTGTCATGGTGACATTATCTAATATATTGGAGATCAAAAATAGTAGTAGTAATAGTGAAAATATTGTGAATTTTGTATATATATGGAAGTCTGGTTTAATCTCATAGCACCATGATACTTCAAGGAAGATAGGCATGTAAATACATTTAATGTAATTACTTACACTTTTATCTATCTGAAATGCTGTGTATACCTTATCTACTTTCCTCAACTACAAATATAATTATAATAAATCGGTAAGCAGGACCAGACAATACATTCAAAATAAAGAAGTAGGTTTAAAGTCCTTTCGATTTGTTTAAATCCTCATATTGATAGGATAGTAATTGCAACATCTTGGGTATTTCAAAAGTTTTATTTAGTCAACTTCATCATAGAGCTATTTATCATTTGGTTTGGTGGCGATAAATATATGGTTGTGTGTATTTTGTTATTTTTTTTTTACCTATTTTGATTTATTCACATTATTGTCGTCAAATTTGAAATAAGAATTAAAGAAGATATAAAATCGCTTGATATTAAGAAAAATAGCCTCTGGTTCTCTTATTTTAGTTATGTTTGCATTCCAAAGTGTAGGAGTATGGGGAAAGTAATATAGCTTAGCGGTTATTTGTGAACATTTTGCAATACGTTTAGCCTGTCAGCACTTTTAGTACTTTGATTTTTTCATGGTATCTAATTTATACCTTTTACTTCAGCGTGACGTACGTATTTTAAATCATGAGGAATTCTTGGTAAAATATTTTGTTGGTAAACGAGATATATAAGCATGGATAACCAGTCTGTTATCAATAAAAAAATAATATTAACGTATTATCTCAATGAAGTCAGTGAAGTACGAGGTATACTGATTCATCATATGATCTTTCTTCTGGTCGTCATCATACGATCATTCTTCTGGTCGTCATCATACGATCATTCTTCTGGTCGTCATCATACGATCATTCTTCTGGTCGTCATCATATGATCTTTCTTCCGGTCGTCATCATACGATCATTCTTCTGGTCGTCATCATACGATCATTCTTCTGGTCGTCATCATACGATCATTCTTCTGGTCGTCATCATACGATCATTCTTCTGGTCGTCATCATACGATCTTTCTTCTGGTCGTCATCATACGATCTTTCTTCTGGTCGTCATCATACGATCATTCTTCTGGTCGTCATCATACGATCTTTCTTCTGGTCGTCATCATACGATCTTTCTTCTGGTCGTCATCATACGATCATTCTTCTGGTCGTCATCATACGATCATTCTTCTGGTCGTCATCATACGATCATTCTTCTGGTCGTCATCATACGATCATTTTTCCGGTCGTCATCATACGATCTTTCTTCCGGTCGTCATCATACGATCATTCTTCTGGTCGTCATCATACGATCTTTCTTCCGGTCGTCATCATACGATCATTCTTCTGGTCGTCATCATACGATCTTTCTTCTGGACGTCATCATACGATCTTTCTTCTGGTCGATGCTTTCTGTATGAAATATTTGTGTTAAGAAATTTAAAAACAGATGACATGACATTGATCAACTTTTTTTTTGGTTTTCGATGTCAAAATCATCCTTCCAAAGACTGCATTCGTCACCAATACACTAATACCTCAATACACCAAAAATCTGTTCATCACAAATTCTCAAAATTTATAACGATATCTTTTCTTTCTTTCTTTTCTTTCTTTCCTTCTTTCTTTCTTCCTTTCTGTTTTTACTTTACTTTGATATTGTCTCATCAAGTAATAACAAGTTATGTAATGTTGTTTTAGTAATATCAGTTGGATAAAACATTTTAGCATCTGTTTTTTATTACCAACTGAAGAAGCTAAATCGTGCAAATGACATGACTAGATAAGAATCATGTCTGGCCTTCTGTCACATGATGTCACTGTATGGTCTGATATTTAAGATGTTTATGGTTAAAATCACATCAAAACACTATGTTTTGTTTAATCGGGAGTAATGCGAGGTTAAACTCGGGATGTATTCACCGTGACGTGTCAAGCTTGATTTCTGAAACATGTATTATTGTACAACCTGACAGGCGGAAACATGGCGATATCTTGCATAACTGGATCATAGGGCAAGCTGTAATGAAAGTATTGACAACGATTACATATGTTTTAATATCTTCGAGCATTACTTGTAGTAGGATTAATTAAGTGAATGAAAGTGTGAAGAGCACAGCCGTTTTATCATAAACTGACTGATGCCCGCAGCAAAATGGTGAGTAAGCATTTGCAAATCTTTTCTCGTTAAAAGAAATGAAATAATGAGATAAACTCTTTGTTTCAATTTTGGCATCCTTTTATATATACTGATGGAATCCACGGCACCAAAGTCTTATCTAGTACACGTGAAAGCAGTATATATAATGATCTTCTACAATAGGTCCATTGCCACCTCAAGCACCTCTTATTGATTGTAACCTACGTTGCCACATGTCAAGTCAATGGCCTTCTGGAGCCAATACCGATGCCAGACATCCTCCGAGAATGCTACAGGTATTGAATAAATTATATTGTTGTTGTTGTACGTCGATTTTTAAAGACAGAGATCTTGGGTTACTTTGATAAATCAGTAAACAACAGTAAAAAGACAATACCGTAAGAAATATTCAAACATGTTACATGAATTTGAGTCCATACAATCAGTGCGGAATAAAAAACCAAATGATTCTTCACTTCCTATTATACAATAAAACCAAAATATCGGTAATTATTTTCATAAAAACTAAAGATTTTTTGTCACTTTCTGCAACAAAAATAACCAAAAATTTATCGCGTTCTATTAAACAAAATATTCGTCATTTTCTATTTAAAAAATCGTCTTTCTTTATTCAAATCAAAAGATTCGTCATTTTCATTAAATGAAAGATTCGTCTCTTTTTACAAAAACAAAATATTAGTCACTTTTATTAAACAAAGGATTCGTCACTTGCCATTCAGCAAAAGATTCGTTACTTTTCTCTGCCAATTTTCGAAATTCGTTGCCCGTCCTTTTCTATATGTTTGCATTTACCCTCCAGATACAGGACCGAGAATATCAGCGTATCTGAAATGACGTCACAGAGCCTTAACAGTTTCTGCATCACAGATTTCCTCTCTGAAACTGTTCTCCTTCGTCCTCAAAGGGAAATATCAAACACGTCGATTTTGTATGCACAAGAACTCATTCGGAAGGTCATTGGACGCATCAATACTGGAGGTAGATCCCGGAGGCAAGTGAGAGAGAGGAAAGAAGTCCGAACTTTATCCAGGGAGGAGTGGAACACCTTCACAGAGAGACTCAATATCCTAAAAAGACCAGTGGTGAGTTTACAGATTGCGCTTGTTGTCCAAATACATAGCATAGTATCGTTTGTCCTTAGTAAGTGTGTCCGTGTTCATGCTGGAACAGATCCTGTCTTCAGTAAATGATATAACACTTTTGTGTTTCGCTATGTCAAAAAATTTTATTTGTGTTGTGTAAGGTATCACAAATTAAGGGTTGAGTTTTTGGTCAATGATACGTTTGTAAGAAAGTTACCAAATATATGTTTTGCATGAATTGTGTAAGCCGACTACTCCAACAAAGTCGCTTCTTGAAAAACAGCATATATCATCTATTTGCAATTAATGTGATATATGCACAAAAGTTGCCCGATATTTCTTGACAAATGTCAAGTGCATGGTGTCTCTACAAATGCCTTAATGCTTGTAATTTGTACCGTCTGATTTTTTTCGTTGCTTTGTGTCTAATAAGACATTTTGCTTTTGAGATCTCGCCTGGTGTCATTTTTATTTGTTATCGTATTAGATATACATAACATTTTTCATGGATTAAATGTGCAATTATTACTACAAATGTTATTAATGAACGAAATGTGCGATTTTTACTTCAGATGTTGCCGAATGGTGAACAGTTTGTACCTTACGATGCCATATCTGATATTCACATGCCACCTTACACACTTCTAGCAGCACACATAGGGCCTAATTTCCTCGGCTGGCATCGTGTTTACCTCCTGCTGTATGTAGATCTTCTGTGTCCACTGTCTGTAAATTATCATTACATAGTTGAACATTCTTATGGTCCATTACTAATACTGGTTTACTGATACAGTTGGATTTCGTACTCTCAACCATTTACCAAACACTGAAGTACTCTGAGTCCGCTAGATATTCTAGTTCAGCACAGTTGCTTCTACCCTCCTTCGAACTTAGTCAGTCTTTTGCTAGTGCCAGAAATATTTAATTTAGAACATTCGATAGATTGTTCAAAATACATGTATAGGCAAATTAATAATTGGATACAACAGACGCCAATAAGTGAGTATTCTTGGCCACGATAGTGATATAAATCATTCTTTCACTATTGTATGTCAGATTTAACTGTGCATCCTGCTTAAGATATTTCATTTTCATTGTAGACTAGAAGAAGCACTAGGAGTTCCACTTCCGTATTGGGACAGTCGACTGGACTTTGACATGGTAGACCCGACCGATTCAGTTCTCTGGACACCGGAGTTTTTCGGTCAAGGTTTCGGCATCGTGGACAATGGACCTTTCGCGGGATGGATCACACCACAAGGAATCAACCTCATCCGAAACATTGGGAATGACGGATCCCTAATCACTGATGAACAAGTCCAGGGAATTCTCATGCAGGGTAGTCACTACGAGGTTACGGAACCAATACCAAGACTAAGCATAGAACGCGTGCACGACGGGCCGCACGTGTGGGTTGATGGACAACTGTCAGCACTTGCCACCGCCCCACAAGAGCCCGTTTTCTTCTTGCATCATGCCTTCGTTGACTATATTTGGTATTTATTTAGGAACAGGCTTCGTATGGAATACCCGGATATAGATCCTCAATACGACTACCCACTTAAAGGAAATGTTCTTCACGCTCCTAACGCACCAATGATACCATTCAATAATCTTCAAAACATTCAAGGTTATAATAATTTTTTTGAGTCCCGTACAGTTTACGCTCCGTCCCCAACATGCCCTGACTGTGGTGAAAGTCCTTACTTAGTCTGCAATCTAACGCTAGGGAGATGTCGTTCTCTTTCTGCAGCTGAGGTTGCGCCATCTCGTGTAGTACCATTTGGAGCTGCTGACGCTGCCGCGACCGGTGCAGTTGCCGGTGCAGCTGCCGCTGTTGGTCAACTCAAAATACAGAAACTCGTGAAAAAGTTGGGGCCTCTTAAGATAGGGTCGCGGTTTAAAGTATTTAGTCGAGATCCTAGAACAAGAGGGGATACTCTTCCAAATTCACCTCTAGCTACCAGAAGAAGGCGAAGTTTTAGTAACGATTCAAATGTGAACGAAGCAATATTCCAAACAAAGAATATGAAAAGTAGGGGTCATGTAGGAGATTCCCAGATTGATAAACCATACCTGAATACATTCGTTCTGGACAGTGTTAGTGATGAAAAACTTTGGGTGTATATTCCTGTGAAAATTATTTATGAAAAACCTTCTGAAATGTCAACAAACCCTGTTGAATTACCAGAGAGTATTTCCCCGCGTCAACGTAATTTAATCACAAAAGAAATTAACAACACAGAAATTGTACAACCTACTATCCCAGCTTCTTCTCCGAAATGCCATGTTTCCGGTTCCGGTGCTTCTAAAGTTTATGTCCAGACCGATGGTATTGACTATTCCGGCAGATACAAAGACTATGCTGTGGTAGATGAGAGGCTGCCGATCTCATCTGCTATGATATATGTCGGTGTCAAAAATCCAAAACACAGTGCAGCGAAATTTTATATGAGTGCATTTGACTCTTGCGGTCATGTATGTAAACCCAATTGTTTAGCAAACGGTGAATATAATGCATGCTCTGGAACCTTCCAAATTACATCGTCTTCGCCTTTGATGTATGGAGTGACCGTTAAGGAAGCTGCCAACGGAGTATGGGAAACGGAAGGCAAGCTTCCGGTTGTTTCAGAATACGGCAATGCACCTGTGGTATTTACTTGCAAAATATACACTAATTGGCCTTGGGATTTATCTTAATTTGCACTTTTGACGATAGAGATATATTTCGAGTATTTGCATATTCCAAAACAACGAATCATAAAATGGAAATTTATGTAATATAAATTTCAAAATGCAATACATGGGAACTAAATCAATATAAAGTCTTTGGTGGTGTTTATTGTAATCAATAATGAAAGGTTTGGGTATTAAAATAACATTTCATTGTTGTTTTAAGGATCATTTTTCACGTTGGTGTAATAACAAATGACCTTATAGGATGAAACAAAATCATAATTCTAATTCAAATTTGAATGGATAAAACAAGAGCAAAATATGAAAAAAAGAAGAAAACCAAAATTCTTTAATGGTGGGTGACGTAATTTGAATCTAGACAATCAAAATGATAAAACGTCCTCAAAATAGAATATATTATCAACGCCGAAAGCATCAAGTACAGAACAGGTCACTGATTAAAGTCGAATGTTTCCAAATATTTCGTAACGACGCCTATCAATTTCATCATTAAACTTTTTCCCCCCGAAATCATGTTCTGTTATCATTCTGTCATATAACGACTTCTACCGAGAAAATAAGTCGGTAAGAAAAAGAATAGAATTAACTGTAATAAGTCCGCAGTTCGACAGTAAGCAGAGAGTGAAGTTTTTATAAAGATTCTAAACTCATTATACATAACATTGCAAGTTCAGGTTCCTTTTAAGACGTCAGTTAGGCATTTGCTACACAGATGTTGTTTTTTAAAAAACAAAATGTCATTGATATATGTATATCTGCGGAGTGAACCCGAAGGACAGGGCACACTTAGCTCTCCGATAAATCTTGCCTCATATTAAGAAATAAAGGCTATCAAGGACGGAACACGTATTGGTCACATGGATATTTTTTATGATCTATAATAAAATCTTAGTACCAATCCCACGAAAAATACAAGATGCATGATGAAATATAACGATATCATACCCTATAAGTCACGTTGCAGTAACGCACTTAGTCAGTCCTTTGATTTACATTACTCTGATGGACATTTGCATAATCAAATCATGTGACAAGCCAATTTATCACTTATTTAAGGAGCAATATAAGTCGTTATTTTGATAAGAAAAATCTTCGTATAAAAGATGTAGTGGTTTTTTTTTTTTTTTTTTTTTATCACATTATATGTCAGATTGTGCAAAGATTACTGTGATTTAATGCCAAGGTTATAATTTGCATTGGTAGGCGTATATGCATGACTGTTTTCAACTTCTAAATATTCGCACTGCATGTCCATGGGCAGGTGGTTCTTTGAAAGCATGAGTAAAATAATGAATGAAGGGAGCTAACCTCTTATTGTTAATGAACGCGTCATATCTGGCCATAGATAAATAAAGACAAAGAAGTAGATCAGCTACTACTTACCTCATATTTAAACCTTAAATCTAAATAATATTAACATATATAAACATATTTAAGAGACACTGTTAAAAGTATATATTTGAAAAGGTTTACGATCGAGTCAGATACTGACAAGCAACTAAACTTCCACTGAGTTATGCTCTCTACCAAGGTCGTAAGCAATTCTGTATTAAAATGTGCATGTATGATTACGACAATGATATACCATCATGTAAGTACAATCAGTACACCATTGTTTTTCAAACAATTAAAATAAATATTATCATTGCTGATAACACTAGGGAAGCTTTTAAGCATCATCATCGAATGTTATTATTAAACACATGTATATACAAGTTGCAAAATCGGTAACAAATATTATTTTTAAAATCACATTTCAGTATGAGATTTCAAGCAGTTAAATCATGTTACGGAGAGTCGGATGTCAGAGGGTCAGGACTGTTGAGGACAAACCAATAAAATATTATAATAAGGTAATCAAACGTGTACAAAATACGGGAATAGAAATGGAGATTGTCTCTTTGATTAACGTGAAAAATAAACTAGTAAATTAAGTAGCAACTTTACGTAAGCACAGAGGTCAAAAGATTATATCGCAAATCAAATTTTATATTTATTATGAAAGGTCGTAGTTTTCGGAACATTTCAAAGACATATTCAATTGTATATGATAATCGGATTGATATTGAGGCGATATGATGGGATGCATGCTTGGTAGAATGTGCGTAGTTTGAAGCGACATTTCCGGAAACAAGATTTTGCACTTTAAAAACTTCAGTGTTAAAGGTAGTCTGCAATAAATAACATAGAGAGGATCCGAATTTTAATATCTACATCAATATAATACCTGGAAAACTGATTTATCGTTATAACCCAACTATCAACCGTAATAACGTAGAACATTGGTATTATCTAATAATGAATATAATCATCAAAACACAAATTAGATTAAACTAAGGCTACATATACATAGAAAGTAGAGAAACACGAATGCTCCTGAAATGTTAAGTCAATTGATGCATATCAGAACGTCACTTTTCCAAATGAGAATTGGGTATACAACAATGGAACCAACATGTATATTGACGAGCATCAAAGATGTCCAACTTCACGTCGCACAAGGAAGTACAATATTTCCAAATTAGATCATTATCGCGACTATAAAACTTCCCCCGTCATTATCATCATCAGCCTGCATCTCTCGAAACCAAGTGTTGTGACTTTTCAGAATCCGATATATCGCATGAAAATCGTAATATTGTGAAGCAGTTGAATATCGACAAATAAACACTATAAATTAGGGATTCAAGTTTGTTGCTATCCAGAAAATGAAAATGAACACTAGGGAAATTGAAATCATGGCGCTTATCTGTTGGTTTGGTTGTAGAAAAAAGTGAGGTAAGTGGGTACTGCTGAAGCGTCTGTCGTGCCCCTGATTTTCAGTTATGGATGGTATCCACGATTGGTCAACATATATGTAGTTCATAAATTTCTTTTTACTTAAAGACATCATCAATAAAGCTGAAAGTGAAATTGAATGTCTATGTGACCTTTCGGTTGTCACCGCTTTAAATAGAAATACATGTACTCCATTTATCATTATCAATTTAATACAGACCCGGATCCAGAATTGCGGGTTAGTGGGGATGCACATTTTTGTATTGTGCCCAACACCTCCCTTTATTTCCAGCTTTTCTGTGTTAAGTTTACATACTTTATATATTGTATAATCGTTCTAGCTTCGACATATAATCACGAATTTCATTACACATAGGACGGAAAACGAAAATATAAAGTATAATGTTATGCCCTGATTTTTTGGCGAAAACAAATAATTACTATACATGTAATGTCCTCAATTCAGTTATTCCTGTGTGACTTGAAAAGCCGTATATTACATAAAACTTCTACTCTGAGGTGTGATGATAGGATTTCATTTTATTATCCTGCAAATTTTTGTAATACATCCGTTTCATGACAGGTGCGATAACACGAGGCCAATATCTACGTAAATATATATACATATAAAGAGCTTATATATAAGGTCTTTATATGTTTATGTGTCTCGTATTTCATGTACATACGTTCGGTCGTTATCGGACGTTTTTGATTAAATCTTCACTTTGATAGCCGATTAGGAGATAACACACGTCTAAATCAACTCCTGTCGTCTGCTCTTCAACATGGCGGTCGTCAGAGTGGAATATACAGAGGATGGATTTGCCATCATCACGATGCAGAACGGTGAAAACAGACTAAATCAAATCTATGTAAACGAAATGACGCAAATTCTGGACGACATTGAAAGGTCAGTAGGAAACGTGTCGCGTGATTTATCAAAATGAAATAGAAGGGTCAGTATGTAGGACGACGGGTACTTGCCACGTGTGCTGATACACCTGAAATCCTAAGGTCGGTCAGTTCGCCTGACACTGGTTTGTCTATGGGAGTACATGACTTGACATAATCAAGATTCATCTTCAGTTCAGTGTCGTGACTAATATACTTCATTGTAAATTATATACCACTTTTTAAAACGTTTCAAGGTGGCCATTTTATCATTGAAATGACCAATTTTATGTTACATCTATAACATCAATTACAGTCTATATCTGCATACGAGGATAAAAAATGTTCAGCACTAAAGTTTAAGATTTTTAAAATGTCCACCAAAACATAATTTGATCCATTCGTAAAGCATTAATTCTTCCTATTTGAAGACACAATAGCAGTTAGGCCTAGACAATATGGTAATAGTGCAAATGCATTGAAGAGCAGAAAATAACGCCGAATGCATTGCTACGACGGAAACGGAGCCAACATTGTTTGAATAAAATGTGACACTTCGTACAATTAGATACACTGTATTCAATGAAGAGAAACGTACGGCAAATGTTAATCAAATTAAATTGCCCTCGATGAAATGTTTCAGAAATAAAGATGTGAAGGCAGTAATCACTACAGGAGAAGGGAAGTTTTTCAGTAATGGCCTTGACCTCGAGTGGATGAAATCTAACACAGAGGATGTAGTGAACGCCTTCAGATACGGGTTGCATGCGTTACAGTGGCGCCTGGTGCACTTCCCACTTCCAACGGTGGCTTTATTAAATGGTAAGCAAAACCAATCCATATGTAATGCGATTTTTTTTTCAAAGTCGTGATTCCAACGTATTGTCTGCACACTGCAGTTGTAAATATACATGTACTGGCAAATAATTTGTTTTTGTGGATGTTTCATTTTCGTCAATTTCGTGGGAACTTTTAGTGCACGAAATAGATGTCAGAAAATAATAATCCTTTAAAGACACAATTGTTATTATTTTATATATACTGTTTTGTTAATTTGAAAATCATGAATTTTGAATCTCACGAAAATAAGCTTTAAGTATAAATAATTGTATTCGATTCTGTAGGACACGCATTTGCTGGTGGGGCGTTTATTGCAATAGCACATGACTATCGCGTCATGAACTCAAAAAGAGGCTGGATTAGTTGGAATGAAATACTCGTAAATCTCCAGTTAAATCAGGCTTCGTTAGAGTTACTAAGGTAAGTACTCGTATACATGACATTTTACTTCATTCATAAGGATTCCCGGAAGTGTGGAGGAAAAGTCTTCCTGTGCATGTTTTTAACTATTGAAGTTCCGTTTATCTGAAATGCTTGACATTTCCCTCAAACAAACTGTCGTATAAGTCAGCATTCATTAAGTATATTTCATACAAAGTTAATGTTAATTGACTATACCTATATTTGGAATATCATTTCAGACAAAAAAAACCCAATTCAAATCTCTTCTCAGTTCCTGATGTCATCAGAGATCAGTTATTTTTCAGACTTTAGAACTTTAGTCGGATTTCTTCTCTGTTCTCAAAAAGCTTAAACATTTAATGGCTTGATTTGTGTTTAACCATTTGATTTTTTGTCGTATGTTTTAAAAACAATTATTAAAAGCAAATGAAAACTTAACTTAATTAAAATATACGTGATTGAATTACTTGTTAAACAAAAATGTATCGGCTCGTCAAATATTGTACATTTTGCAGTATGAATTAAAAGTGTTCACGCTGTAGTACCAACATAGATACAAGTACAGCGAACATGTCTTTGAAGACTTCTGTCATTATACATGTATGCAGAGTAAACGTAAGCCACAGAAATCAGTGTAACGCATTCCATTGTACTTATAGACAGAAAATCTCCCGTATGGATGCCTTGAGAGAAGCTGTCTTGTTTGCCAAAAGAATAACTGCCACCAGAGCTGTCGAGCTAGGGATAGTAGACGCGGCTGTCGAACCACAGAACCTTCTCAAAGAGGCCAAACGCATAGCACTTCAGGCACTAGGACCAAACGGGATTGACAGCAGCATGCTTCAAACTATGAAGAAAGACTTATTCCAACAGCCCAATATTGACAAAGTCAATGCTAAACTTTAATTACTGGTCTTTTGTGCTTGCTATTATTATTGAGATGATGTCGGATTGTCGTTGTGTGTTTACTAGGTAGACATTTAATCAGAGTGCATGATGCTGAGCATAATGGCATGTCAATTCAAATTTAAGGTTCCCTTGAGATTTTGTCATTACTGATCCTTCTCAATTATCAAAACGTTCATCTTATCAGGTGTATGTTTTGTATGAGTCGAAATTTTATATTATCAAATGAAACGGTTTGAGTGAGTCGAAAATTATCAAATAAAGGTTTGAGAGGGACCAAATTGATCAAATAAAGGTTTGAGAGGGTCCAAATTTATCAAGTAAAGGTTTAAGTGGGGCGAAATGAAATCTTGTCCAATGAGGTTTAGACTATGTCGAAATTAATTTATTTTGTTATTAAATATTCATTGATATACACGTCATACATACATATTAAGATAAACATGTTCTAGAGATCGTAAATATTCATGTATGCAGTCATCATCCTAATCAAAAATGCATATCAAATTATCTGCTGTAATATACGGCAAAGTTTGAATAAATGAATCTATTATCGTCAGAATTACACGTGCAGAGGGTTTATACAGTGGAAATATTCGATTTAAACGAAGGAAAAGGCGTAAGATCTGAAAAAGAAACGACTGCTTTAGATACCAACTGCTAGTTTTGATCAAAAGCAAAATTCTATCACAACGGTTTACCATTAAGGCGAGTTGGTCTAAGTGTATCATGGATACTCCTAAAATGTAACATTAGAAAAATCTGTGAAAAAGTGTGTCACGCTTGATAATTTTATAAATGTGTCAGATGATAATATTCAGATACATTTTAACACCGGAAGTACAAGATAAAACTTAAGTTATCTGGACAATTATTTACGCAGTTTTATGTTATTGTTTTCTTCTTTTTCAGTTATCTCGTGATTTGTGTCCTTAATTGACTTAGTATAAGTATTTGGTACTTCGTGTATACATATTAAATGTAATAGATTAAGATAAATATGCATAGCTTTTTATTTTATTTTTTACCCCTCTAAAATGTGGTCAAGGCCCTGGAAACTACTTTGATAGGCCTTACTACCAGCCTATTAATCCAAATGATTCTATCATCTATCCACGAGGTAATTTTAAAGAGTTCTGTAACCTAATGGTCACTACTGTATCACGGGGAGGGTAGATTATAATTATTAACATATCGTAAATTGGTGCGTAACAACAATCTAACTCGTTGATTTCTTCATGGACTTTTCTCTAGATAAATATACAGGTTATGATAGAGATATCTCCAAACAGAAAACATTATTTGTATAATTTAAATAGATATTATACAATGTGTGAAATGTATCTTAAAAGAAAAAAATATTTTATTGGAAAAGATAGGAATTTTGAAATGACATAAGATTGAGACATACGCCGGGGAAAAGAAATCGGATGCAAGACTGAAGAAAATAACTTTTTCTAATTGTTTGATGCAACAAATTGGAGGAGAAACTTCAATTCACAAAAGACAAACAAGGCACCCTGAGTCGTCCATTTTGATGTCTAAGCCATTTAACACAGAGTTTTTCAATGGTTTTCTGTCCACGTGAAAAAGACGAATAAGATTTTGGTAACAGTTAAAATTTCAAAAAGCATTATAGATGACTGTGTGATTAAACAGCGAGATATTCTGGACAATCTAACATACACCCAATGTGTTTCATATGGAGTCGAAACCTAACCAATTACAAACATGACTATCGATGTTTAAAAGAACAATGTACGCTAATTATCAAATACCAGAGTGCCAGGTATCACTTAATCATAATTGTCAGATCCAACTACGGTCAGTATCTGTCTGACCAGTTCGCTTATCATTTGAGTTACACAGTCGGACTCCCGAATCGCCGTTCTGTAGTTACGAGTATCAATCTATATCGTACCGAATTACAAGCTCATCATACCAAACACGTTTGACGTCTTGCTGTTGGCTAAGTTTGAACACTTGGGTCTGCATTTTAAATGCTGTTTGTTTAATTATTCTTATTTATTTACCAATTTCAAACAATTTGATGCATTCACCAGTCGACAAAAAACCCGAAGATAAGTCACGTCACGCTGTCCCTAACAGATAGGAGAAACGAATGATATTTAAATATAGTCTGAACATACGGTGCCTATGGTGCTGTGAATATTACTTCATCATCAGAGTTCCAATCCATAATTTGATATCCTTTGGTATAACATTTCTACCACAGGACGACATCGCGGAAATGGAAAATTAATCAAGTTTATATATTTACAATCAACTTTAAAATATATGGTTCTGGAACGTGCCTATCTTTGGAAAAGTGATTAGATTAGTAAAAAAAAAAAATCAACTTCTTACCTACTTTGTACTTGACATTGGCTAAGATTCAGATAAGCACGGTGCGTTTTTTTTTATTTATTTATTTGTATGCACAACGGTCCGTACATTGGCAAAATAGATCTCGCCAAGACTGGACATCAAGAAATCTATATTAAGTTTCATTCACGTTATGGAAAGGTTGAAATAGTTTCCCCCTTGGGAAAAACATATATGTAGGTACGGAAGAATCACATTTTATACCAGCTCGGAAGGTTTATGCGTTTAACTACAAGCAATTCAAAGTTCTTTTCAGTTTAACGTGACACAGAATGATGAACATAAGCTATTTTCTCACGAAAAGTTTAATAAAACGTAATGCATTTTAAAACTTATCGTTACAAAGTTGGCTGTAGCTCCGATTTACATGCATTAGCTTAACTTTCAAATGGTTTCATGTCAATTTCAAAAATGAAATTGTTAAATGGAACTTGAACCGGTGCTTACTTTTTTTTATTTAACAAGCCTATAACATCAATCGGAACACAACAACATGTCACAACAGGATAATTTGCCCTCTGTTTTGATACTGCCATTGCATTCAAGCGCTCGAAAGATGAAGATAGTGTCGCCCTCATTTCTTTAAATAAACGATCACTGATTGGTCAATAGCGGAATCACCATTTGTTTAGGAACCATTAAAGCATGTGTGCCCAGCTTTCGAAGGGCTTTGTCAGCACTCTGTTAGTAAATGTGCGGAAGGCATTTCCTCAGATGAGATCAGTAACAGTATCCACCATGGGAAAAACAAAATGCAAGATTCAGAAATTGTCTCCGACACTATATGGTAAGAAATTTTCACAACTGCGAAAACCGCGCGGATTTTGCTGATGCAGTTGTTTACATAATATTACGATAAATACATATGTATATATACTTTATATAGGCATTTACTGCTAATATAAAACGAAACATACATACCCAGTAGCTTCAGATTCCGACTAGGCCTATATATACAACCCATGTGATTACAATCCAGGCTTCATTTTGCTTTTAATCATTAAAGAAAGGTTGAACATTAGGCAGGAAATTATCCATTCAGACGAGTTTCGGGTCTAAGGGAGGTAGAATAGGTCGAGTCAGGTTTTGTTCGTCAATGCATATTATCATTGTTGTCTTGTCACGAAATGGGACTTGTTTATTTGGTAAACAGATTTAATGAGGAAGAGATACTGAAATTTTAGATATTTTTTTGTCGCCTTCTGTCACTGAATTTTTTATTCTTTTTTTACAGGTACAGCCCTCCATTCCACTACCTCTGACAAGCCTTTAACAGTAAGTACAGTTGTAATAAAATGGAAATTGGCATGGCTTTTATTGAAAGATCTCTTAAGTTTGTACTGAAACACAGCCAAAGCTTTGCTTAAATTATTTGGAAGATATATATTGAGCTATAGACGTATGTGAAAAAAAGTTGTTGTAAGTCTGGACATAAGCTCAGGACAGGCAAATTTATGAAGCTCATCTCGGAGTTTTGTCTTTTGATCGCCATGGCTCGTAAAAATAAAAAGTCTTCTGAGACTTTCTTCACTAAATCTCATAAAATGAAAACTCATGTAAGATGCCTTATTCATGAGTTTTAATTTTTATCACAATTAACTTCACATCGATGAAAAATAAATTTTGTAAATTAAGTTTACTATGAATAACAAGTCTTTTTTTATCTGTTCATTTAGGTTTGTGTTGAAGGAAACATTGCCAGTGGGAAGACAACATTTTTAGAACATTTTAAGAAATATTCAAATGTTGAGGTAAATGTCAAAATTACACAAAACAATGTACAAACAGTTGTATTGAAAGATTGAGTTTAAAGTAAAGTGATTGGAAGATAATTCCTAGGAATATGTCAAAAGTAGTCTGTCTTCTTGTGTTTAAATTGTTATTTCAATTTAATTTGAATTGTCTGAAACGATTGCTGTCGTATATATTATTGTACCTACATCATGATTTACCTGGATACATTTTACTTCTGGATCATATGGTGTATAATATTATGTATTTTATATGTGATAATTGAATATATATTTCAGTTTTAGATTTTCTTTGTCCATGTGAAACTAAAATTGTAGGAAGTCTGCAATGATTTTGGATTCAGATGATGAAATTTGTTGTTGACTTAATTTATTATGTTTAGGTGTATGAAGAACCAGTTAAAAAATGGAGGAATGTCGAGGGACACAATGTTTTGGTAAAGTTTATTTACAAGTGTGTTCTGGTATAATGCATACCTATGACCAATTACCAAAGTGTTTGTTAGGCATATATATTTATATTCACCATTGATAATGATAATGTTAGTTAGAATGTTGAATTCAAGGGCAAGTTAATTCATGGATTTGATGTGGAATTAAAAGTCCTTCATGATAATTTTGATTTCTTTTGGTACCAAATCATATTTATCTTGCTTTCAGCCATGGTAGTTTTCATTTTAATGTGATTAGTGATAACATAAAAAAATGTTTAAATATATTAAAAATCTGGTTAACTTAGAGAATTTAAACAGATTGTTAGAGAAAATCGATACTGGCAATTGAAATAATTGAAACTATTTTTCACTGGAAATAGAATAGAACATAATTTTGATTAAGAAAAATCATTTTAATGTATTAATGTAAATATATCTTAACTTATTTATTCTGTTAATTTTTGTTGTGTCTCAAAGTTTAGATCACACATTTTTGGAAATATGTATTTGCAGGCAAAAATGTATGAAGATCCAAATCGATGGTCACTGACATTACAAACCTATATCCAGTTAACAATGCTTGACAGACATGTCCAAGTACCAGTAAGTATTGAATGGTATACTTGACCTGAAGATGAAATTCAGATAAGTTAAAATAATTCACACTTCTCAACATAAAGTTCAGAAACATATGATTATTTCACTGAGTTAACTCCCTTGCATTTCAAGAGTTTGGTGTTTGTAAAAATGAAACATGTTCCGATGGATTTCCACATTATAATGATGCAAAGAAATAAAAAATATACTTTTGATTTTGAGGTTAACAGCTTCATTGTGATTTTTTTGTTGTTTTTCAAAGGAGGATCGGCAAGTGAAATTAATGGAAAGGTCCATTCACAGTGCAAGGTATTGCTTTGTGGAAAACCTGTACAAAAGGTACTTATCTACCATATATTCTTATTACAACATAATAGTCTTACAGAATCTCATCGGATAAAGAAGTTAGTTTGAAGTTGTTGTAAAATAAACAATTTTTTTTCTTTTCATAAGAAACAATTCAAAATGTTTGCATTGTGTCTCGATTACCTTGAACAATTTTAAAAGACCCTCATAGCTTTTATATTGTCATGATCTAATCTATTGTGTAAGAAGATATTGTTCTCTTTATCAAATTTTGACTGTGCTGCATTTATGTTATTGTATGATAACCATATTCATAATACGATAATTGATGGTGTTGTTAAAGTTTCTTTCCCGTGTTTGTGTTTCAGTGGTAAGATGACCGACATGGAATATGTTGTTCTGATAGAATGGTTTCATTGGATAAGACAACATCATGATTTGAATGTTGATTTAATAGGTATGTATGTTCAGTGTTTAACTACTAGACCAGCTATTGAAATTTTCATGGTCACAAAAATGTTTATTGTTAACAATCTTCTGTAACCTATCTAACAGTGCAGTTTGCATCTGATATGTGTTGGGAAATGTTTACACTTGTGATAGGTGCAGGTTGATTTTATGAAATTAAAACAATGTATTGTCATGTTATGTCTCCTTTCAGTTTACCTCCAAACAAGACCAGAGACAGTTTATGAAAGAATAAGAAAAAGATGCAGACAAGAAGAGACTACCATTCCAATCGTAACACAAACTAAATTACTGACATTATGATAAATCTGGCTTGAGTTTTGTTTTTCCTTATTTGGTAACAACCAATGCTTGCTTAATTTCTGAAAAAATGTTTGTATTTTTAAAATGAAATGTTTATTTTCTAGATAATAAAAAATTACTTTATGAAAATAATGTTCAATCTGCAAAAGTAAATTATTTATTTCTTAAAACATTTCTATTTTCGAGAGTTATATATTTAAATTTAATCACGATCATGAGAGGCACTCAGTTGATACACTTATTTTACAGGAATACCTATGTTCATTACATGACTTGCATGAAGACTGGCTTGTAGAGAGATCAAAGTTTCCGACAGATTGTCCGGTATTGGTCAGTATCTCTACTGATGATCTTCTTGTTGTGAATTTTACAGGAGATGAGCAGGACTTGACATGTACACAATAAATAGTGGAAACATAAAAGATTTTATATGTACTCTTGAATCACACACTTAATTGGTTGAAAGCGTCGTCTGGATCTGAACTTTATTAAAATTAACTGTAATAATGTGCTATTCTATATCTGTATATATCATCCCTGTCTTGATTTGTGATGACTAACTTTTATGATGAATCCGTTTCATTCAAGTAAAATTTGTTATTTGTACGCGAAAGTTTACTGTACATGTGCTAGCAGCATTTCCTTATTAGTGATTTGTATTTTCCAGGTGATTGATGCTAACTTAGAGACAGAGGAAATGATTAAAATCTATGAGGAAAAAAGTCCAGAAATATTGTTCCAACAACCAGAACCTTTACAACTGGAATCTGCATTAGGTAGCTGATGTGACCTTGTATAGGCAAATCTTCTCTACTATTGCTGGAAAATAGAAAACTGGAGGCGATGTCTCTTTACTACCTTGGTAAAGGTGAAAACCGGAGCATATGCTGGATTTCATCGTAGGAAAAGCTCACTAGTTTGCTAGTCAAGCCTTGACTGAAATGAAATATTGTAGCCCTCTGCTATAGAGGGGTTTGAATCCAGCATTCCATAAGCAGGTAAATGACAGGAAATGTGAGATCTGAGTAGATCATTTATCAATCTACTGCTTCAGGTTTGACAGAAATCTCAGTGTTGCTTGATTTTCTGGTCCATTTAAGAAGTAGGGCAATCAGTAGGAAAGTTTTATATGGATGAATCTCTGATGAAATTCTAAGAATTTTGTTGATATGGTAGCAGGGAACACTTACTTGATAAAATGAACTTGGGGACCCAGAATTGACAGCTTGATGTATCAATTCTTTCATGTTACCTGAATCAGTACAAAGGGCTTAATGTTGTTTTAGGGGACACTGCTTAACCTGATACTTCACGATTCAAATTCAAATGCTAGAAAGATAATTTTCCAAAGGATGTTTTTGTATAGGAAAATCTGATCACAAAATTGAAATATCAGAAATATTTGGAAAAGGATTTTTTGTTACCAGAAATTCTGATAACAAAATGCATTGTCTGAAAAAGTTGGAAAGAATCTTTTCTGAAAATTTTCATTTGCATCTAATGTTTTAAGTGATAGTCCTTTAAGATGTTCACTTCAAACAGTGCTTAAAAATCTTGTAGTAGCAATATCTACTGTAAAATTCTCCAGTAAAATCGTTATTTCCATGGTGCTTTATTTTCATATTTTTCATAGTTTTTTAGTTTCATAAAAATACAGATATTTAGTTCCTTTTTTACGTATGTTTTTAGGATACAAATTTAATATTTCTGCCATGTTTGTTTTAAACTCTCGTAAAATTAAGGTTATCTATACTATTATTATTATTTAGATACTATTTACACATATTCGCATTTGAAATGATATTCTGTATATGTTCTTAGAAATCAAGGAAACCAGTGTAAAACATGGGATGATGTTTTCTTGTCCACAACCCTCAGATAGTTTTGATGTGACATTCAGTGTCTGTCTTTTAATTATGTTTGTATTTTAAAAGGTGAGGAGAGTAAAATTAAAGTTAAATTAAAACAGGCGTATTTTCATTGTGCATGAAAGGAATTAGTTGCTATTGTGAGAAAATGTCCTGTAGATGTTTTTGATAAATCATTTGTTTCATGAATCACATGTTTGAAGACATGGGACTATTTAAAGTTACTAGGGTACTTGCATTGAGGGCATTGTGGATATAACGCTGAAGTTAAATATCTTGTTTCAGTTGTATTATAATGTCATATGTACATTTAAACGAGAGTAAACATTGAATATTGTGTATAATTTGTTGTGTACGCTGTAGTTTATTGTTAAAATCCTGTTTCATTAAGCATCCAATCTGCCATTTAATATCTTATTCTACTATTGAAATGTCCTCTACCTTTAATCCAATTTAAGCAGATATTTACTGCATAATTTTCTTCAAAAATGAATGAAAAAGATCATATGTAGGTCATTCTAGGGCTAAAAATTTTGCAATGTCTCGATGTACCTTGATTATGTCTAAAGGGAATTTTTGCACAATTTTTGCCCTTAATTAACAAGCTAATTTGGCTGGTTCGAGTAAAAGGTAATAATGGGATTTTGATAATCTACTCAGTAACATATTATTGTTTTAATGAAAGTTGTGAGAATCCATTTATCATAGAATTTTATCAAATTCGTTACTTTATTTACAGTCCAAATTAAGCAGATATTTACTGCATAATTTTCTTCAAAAATGAATGAAAAAGATCATATGTAGGTCATTCTAGGGCTAAAAATTTTGCAATGTCTCGACGTACCTTGATTATGTCTAAAGGGAATTTTTGCACAATTTTTGCCCTTAATTAACAAGCTAATTTGGCTGGTTCGAGTAAAAGTTAATAATGGGATTTTGATAATCTACTCAGTAACATATTATTGTGTTTTAATGAAAGTTGTGAGAATCCATTTATCATAGAATTTTATCAAATTCGTTACTTTATTTACAGTCCAAATTAAGCAGATATTTACTGCATAATTTTCTTCAAAAATGAATGAAAAAGATCATATGTAGGTCATTCTAGGGCTAAAAATTTTGCAATGTCTCGACGTACCTTGATCATGTCTAAAGGGAATTTTTGCACAATTTTTGCCCTTAATTAACAAGCTAATTTGGCTGGTTCGAGTAAAAGGTAATAATGGGATTTTGATAATCTACTCAGTAACATATTATTGTGTTTTAATGAAAGTTGTGAGAATCCATTTATCATAGAATTTTATCAAATTCGTTACTTTATTTACAGTCCAAATTAAGCAGATATTTACTGCATAATTTTCTTCAAAAATGAATGAAAAAGATCATATGTAGGTCATTCTAGGGCTAAAAATTTTGCAATGTCTCGACGTACCTTGATTATGTCTAAAGGGAATTTTTGCACAATTTTTGCCCTCAATTAACAAGCTAATATGGCTGGTTCGAGTAAAAGTTAATAATGGGATTTTGATAATCTACTCAGCAACATATTATTGTGTTTTAATGAAAGTTGTGATAATCCATTTATCATAGACTTTTATCAAATTCGTTACTTTATTTACATTTTGTTAACTGCCTATTAAAAGTTGGATGTCTATGGTTATTGGATCTGAAGGGTATTTATCAGGTCTTATCTTCATCTGCATATGTATAAGATGTACTCTTGTTCACCTAGCTGCTTGATTACCATGTCTGTAGCATATGTAAGAAGTATTTTATTTGTGATTTAGTTACAATTATTTTTTGTATACCGGGTATATTTATATGTATGTATTTGTCAGAAATAAAAAAAATATGAAACATGATGCCAAAGAGATCTTGGTGCCTACCATTGTTTTATCATCATTTGTTTTTAAAAGTTGGATTTTTCCTTCATTTCTTTCCCCCCCCACCCCCTTTTTTTTTTTGCACTTCATGAAATAGCATGTAAACGAAATTTGAAAATTTCTCTCTAAGAAATACCAGTAATAATCTTCAACTGTGAAAACCAAGATGGTTGACTGTCAGATGTTTTTTCATCTGATACTTAGAAATAGCAGTAACAAACTTGCATTGTCAAAATCCAAGACGGCTGCCTGACTGTCATTTTTCTTTTTAGTCCCAAAATGAAAAGGTCACAGCAAGGGATCAAGGGGAACATAATAGATAATCTGAATGAAATCCACCCTGTACATCTCGATAGTAATAGTAATAACAAACGTCTATTTCCAAATCCCAAGATGGCTTTTCATCAGCCGTTTTACTTTCTGAACAGTCCCAAATTTAAGAGAGCTTAACGGATAACCAAGGGGGACCAACCTATATAATTTGAGTAAGATATATAAGATTTAAGGAAAGTCTTTCCAGAACCTCTGAAGAAACGGTAATAACAAACTTTCCTAGTCAAAATTCAAAACGGCCACCTGTCCCGTCATTTTATTTTTCTGATCAGTACCACTCTCAAATGGGAACATCTTTTGAGATGAATGGAAACCTACATAAGAAATTTGAGAAAGTTTCATCCAGTTCTTCTCAAAAAAAAAATTCAAAGTCAAAATCCGAGATGTCTATTTTTTGTAGTACATTGTCATACAGCTTTGTATGTCTACCAGCTACAATTATTTCAAGCAATGTACAAGGGCATCAATGAAAGTTGAAGTACATATCATGTACATATGACTCTCTCTGCCATACGTAAAACTACCTATGTCTTGTGTAATAAAATTTACAGCAACGGCCACAACATTTTATCAAAGTTGTTATAATTATTACCTTGTATATTCATTTGTCTTTTGCATACATATAAGTTACTACATGTATGTTAAATGCATTACGGCATGTGTTATGTAATTTACAACTGTATACAAGGGCTACAAATTATTCTTATACAACATAGTATGTTGCACAAGATAGTATGTCACACATACAAAATTAATTTTTGTCAAGGCCTTGATTATTGCCATACAAACCACATATAACACAGAAAATCATAATAATATTTCTGTACATTTTATTTGAACACTTGGAAAGGAAAACTATTCAAGTTCTTCCTCTGCCCAATAAAACGCAGATACACACAGAAACATAAGCTGTCTGTTGTCCAATTGAAATCTGTGAGAGAATCACATTCTAACTCTCGTCAGATTCACTACTACATCAATGTTAGAAAGCCAGTACAAAGCATACTATTTGCCATCCTAAATGTATGTATTCCCGGTACATAGAAACATCAACAGACTTTAGTAACAATGTAAATGCGATAAAAAATCTTTTAAGATTTTCCAATCCCATTTTTAATACCATGAGATAATCCAGACCACTGAACAAAGGATCTAGTGTAGATATATATATGTATATATATATTAATTATGGGTTGATGATCATTACTGTGGTACCATATGAATAGTTTTAACACAAATGTTGATTGATGACTTACGGATGGAGATGGACGAAACATTTAAAACATGTATGAAGAAAGGATAAATTGTGAAATGAAAAAAAAAAGAAAGAAAAGAAAAATGAGGTCCCATGGCAGTTACTTCAAAATAAATTTTCCATGGCTGCTACTGTTGTATATTACCCATGCAGAATTGTTTGCTAGAAGTGAATGTAGGTTGGTTTAACCATAAAAAAAATTCTCAATCTTATTAAAGATTTTAGGGTTTTTTTTATCTTGTGCTTTATCATGTATTTACCAATTTATTAACACACAATTTTTAGGTCAAGTGCTAATGGCTACATTGCAGTGTTTAAAATGTGCTTTGATTGAAATACAATAGTGTTGTGAACAAAAAGACCAGTCCCAAAGTAAGGATCTGGTCCATCATATAACTAGGGTGTATGCACTGATCCTTACATTTCTCAAAATCTGAATATGACACCGTATCAATGCTCATTTTAAATGCAAAAAAAAAGAAGAAAAATTCTTCAGTACTATCCCAAAATCAATTATCCAAGATTTGCCTATTACTTTCATTTGTTAGTTATGTCCCTTGCAATTAAAATTCATGCAGTCTGATGAGTCATCTCCATTCCATTTGGGTTTTGAATGACAAACTAATGAAATACACTTCAAATAGGAGCTATCACATTTAACATCAAAATGAATTTACTACATAATTTAAAATTTTATTTTCTGACAGTATCCAATCACTTCATACTAAAACAAGAGTACTGTCAATGGTACAAAGCTCCCCTTGCATTGCTTTTCACTATTGCATACACACTAGTATTAGGGGTGGGTTTGCCAACATGGAGCATTGCAGTGTCTTGTGAGTAATTTATGCTGCTTGAATAACAAGGGTAAATGGAAAGAAGTGATATATCTGTTTCTCTTATCATTTTCAATTATTATTAGAGTTATTTTCCGATGTAAGAAAATCCAGGAGTAATTTTGTAAAGAATTCTCTGTTCAGATTAAGAGAAAATACACAGATTTGAGTTTTGAATAGAAATCAATGTAAATTGTTTCTTAATTTTTAAAAAAAAATCTTGTAAGGAATGAAGCGGCTAGAGTGCCAACAATGATTTCTGAAAAAAAAGGAATTATGAACCTGAACTGAGAACTCCGAAACTCAAACTTGTTCAAAGATATTAATGTCAGAAGTTTGATGAGAATCCCTCGTGAAAATTTTATATTCTGACTGCATGAAAGTAACAAGTTACCTGCCACAAAAAACCTTAAATGAAATATCTGTACCCTAGTACAATTATAAAGGAGTTTTCTAATGCCTTTCATCACTTGCACCAAAACCTTAATTAACATTAGATTTGACATAAAATGACAAAGTCCAAAATGTTTCAAAACATCAGTTTTTTTCCCATAAAAATAGGCATTCTGACTCCAAGTAGTAACAGGAACCCTAAAACCAAATATCGGTACCCTAGTACAATCATAAAAGAGTTTACTAAAGCCTTACTTCACTTGCACCAAAACCTTTACATTATAAAACCAACGTCAACGCTCCCCTTCTCTTTGAAAGGTGAGATAAAAACACCGGAAAATAGTTGAAAAATGTTTAGTTCAATTCTGGGATTTGTGACAGCATTCTTCACAAGGATGAGAAATTCATTTACTTTAAAACAACTTTGTGATGTGGGCATTTCACATTGTAGCCAGTAGCTTTTATAAATATTTATCAGAATGTTGCACCAAAATTCCAACAGTTGCTTTTCATATCAACTACACTTCACTACAACACCGTTTACCAAATTTGTGACAACTATAAACAATCACTGACAACCTATCTTCACTGAAGCTATGTCCATAGTGAAAACATATGCTATACAAGTTCTCAATTTTCAAAAAATAAATACCAGAAAAAAAAAACAGACATTGTCAAAAACGATTCATTATGAATAAGCTTTTCTGGTTCTCTAATGAAGATAAATTAATTTTGCTTATCCAATGATTGACAATTTTTGAGGGTATCCAATTATTTACTGTTTTTGAGGGTGTCCAATTATTTACTGTTTTTGAGCTAAAGTGTATTGTTTAAAGGATTATCAGGTATAAAAAGGTTGCTTTTCATTTTCTTCCTAAAAAGTTTGAAGAAATTATAGATGGAGAAATTCAGAATATAGCATTTGGATATAATTGGCACAATGTGGAGAAATTATTTCTGAATTCCAACATTACTTTGTTTACCAATATTGTATGAAAAGAAGTGTTATTACATCGGTAAATCATGAACCACTCTGTTCCCTGAATCTTCACATGGCTTACCTATGCCTCTTAGATGTCATTTTCATTCAATTGTGTGGCCTCAAAATTATCAAAACAGAGGAATATTTGAAAAAGTAGAAAAAGAAAAAGAAACATTTTCAATCAAGATCGAAAAATGGTATATTAAATGTTGGAAAGAAAAAAAAACAAAATCTATTCACTATGACCAGGAGAAAACATTGAAAACAGTGTTTCCTTTACTGTGTCAATCAGATCCAATTCAAATATTTTCATTTTAATATTAGATTTTAATGCACAACATATACAAAGGCAAATACCAAAACATTACTGAAAATTAAGCATCAAAAACAGAGAAAAAAATAAATTAACAGATACCGATATAAACCAAGTACATTGTACATTTAAATGATAGTTTCAATAGTGACATTAATAGTTGAGCAGGTATTGTATCATGGAACAAATGCTTAAAAAGGAAAATAACATGCACGTTTTTAGAACCATGAATCTTAGAAGTAAAAATTTCCCAGGTATTTTTTAATTTGAACAACAAATTTGACAATATATAAGAGAAAGTGTATGAAGAAGAAAGAGAATAAAAAAACTGTTGAAGGATGCAATATAAGTTCTCTTTGTTTTAAATCTAAGAGTTATAAAGATGATAAATACCACTTGTATCAAAGATGCAATATAATAGCACATTTTTAGCTCTTTTTATGCTGTAAGTTTTATAAACAGGTGTCCCATTTAAAGGAGAGAAAAAAAAAAGACAAATCTAGGTCTGATATACCATAATATCATATCTTTCCATATTTATCATTTCCAAGCCGTCAAAAGAAATAAAATGTAATGAAAGACAAGAAACTGGGAAAATATCACACACATTTAAAACACACATTCCTGTAGTCACAACAAATATCCACAGCGAGAAACATCCATTGTTGACAGATATAGTTTTTCTCCAAGACAGTTATACTATTTCAAAAATACTATAACTGTTTTTATATATTTCTAAAACGTGTCTTTTTCTGTATTTCTTCTCCTGAATCAGTTAACTTTGACAAAAAATATGTATGCATTTTACATATATATATATATATATATATATCTATATAATTCAACAAGCAATTGATAAACAATGACTGCTTTATCCATAATGAACACCTACCGACATGAATCTCTTTATAGAAAGTCTGCAGTGAACAGTGAACAGAACTGCTCACATTTTGCCAGATATACACACATCATTCTATGTATGTTAAAGTCGCCTATAGTTTGTACATATGTATAATTATACACCTTTATTGGAAGGATATTTACAAAAGTGACAAAAATGAAGATGATAAGTATGACAACACAATGAATCTATAATACGTGGAATATCATTATGTAAATGTATTCATCATGTATCAAGAATGATGTAACAGGGAAACAAATAGAGTTTTTTTTCTACCGAAGAGAGCACTAGTTTTCACAAACTTAACATCAATATCATACAGAAGATATGCAATACATTATACTCGGCTGAATTCTCTTTGATATTTGTCTTTGCGTTCTTAGTTCTCAATTTTCCAGACATAACTTTATCTTTTTTTTTCAGTTCGAAAGTTTTTAAACATTACAATGTATTAGATTCAAAACTATATCCAGTGTGAATAAGAAATTTTAGTTCCATCATCAAATGACTAAGAAAGACATTTTGACAAATTTGAAATTAGATGATAGACAATCTATCACCGAAAAGTTCTGAGATACTTTTAGTGAATGAATATGCTTAACATATAGATTTTGAAATGAAAATGATATTTATTACTGTAAGAGTTAACATGAATAATCCTGTTATGAAATTTACAACGACAGAAAGTTTACTCCAAAGCAATAGGTCCAGCCCATTACCGAATAGAGTAACATGATACAACTTTTCATCAATATTCTTGAATAAGCCATTGGGATTTAATTTCCACAATGGTAAATGTTAATGTCATATTCTTTTTGTAAAAGTATGCACTCTTTTTGATATTATCAGTGAAAATTAATGCCTTTCATTAAGAGGTGAAAACATGCTAGAATGTCACCTAATATGGTTATTGTTGGGATTCTATAATATGGAACTATCATGTGGTGAACTACTGATTAAGATATCTTTTTCCTAAATGAAATTTAAAAATATGGTCCATTACAGTTACAAGTTCTTAAAATAAGGTGTATCCAGATAACAATATCGAAACCGAGTCTTTAAAACGAAGAGAATTAAGTCTTAAAAAAATACAAGACTTTTGAAAAAATTTGGCATTTTATGTCACAATCTGATCTCAAGCAAAATAACTTTTTTTTAATACAGACAGAAACAGACAAATATTCCAACTAAATCAGACCATATTATGTACACAGACAAAGAGACTGTACATCACTGTTTTTTATACCATGATTTCACTACCATACTTAAGAATAGCACACATCATTCCATTATAAACAAAACAATTTTTAATGGCCATGTCAATTTTTACTAAGTTATCTCTCTACAAACAAGAGAGCTCTGTTGGAGCAGAACCCCTTATGATATCAATGTTTAGGAGTGAGAAATGATGAAAAAAAAAAAAAAAAAAAACTACTATCAAGCTGCCATACTGCTACGTGGGCCGAAGCTCAAAATCGTCATTAACTTGAACCATGGGGACATGGAGGTCATCTATTGTAGGAGCACTCTTGTGGTCACATAAACTCATTTCCTTCATTTTCCATTCCCAGTCCATCTTCTGCACAGCAAATAAGGATTCAGCTTCATGATGATGTCGCAGAAGAAGGTCTTCCTGCAAACCAATATTTATTTATTTTATAGATTTGACTTTGGTATGTACAAACTTGGTTCAGGAGAAGAAAGTAAATTACATAGCAATAATGTGTTTAGATTGTCCGGGTTCCTGCTGCAATTGTACATTAGAGGAATACTTGAACTTCACAAAGAATTCACTCTATTTTCCCCTATTGGGCTTCATCCCTCTTGCTCCTGGGGGCTGAGGCCAAATGCATGGTTCCTGCTGTTAAATTTGAGTAATACTATAGCTCTGCAAAGACTTTTAATCTCAACTTATCATCTGGAGATCAAGCTCTCCAAGTATCAAACTGTCCCAGCAATGACATCAGCTCTTCTTAATCAAAAATTACAAATTATTTTTAGCTTCAATTCTTAATGTAAACTCACTATAATATAAATTTCAACATTGCCACGTGAAATTAAAAGTTATTTCTTTCACAAACATGACTGCTTTCTCATCCACAATATTTCTATTGTGCATACAAAATCAGAAACGATTACATTATGCTACTGTATTAAGGGAATTATCTAGTGATTTCCAATAAATCAGCCATTGACAAAATCCTACTGTTACCTTTATTTTCTCATATTTATCATCCACGTCTTTTAACCAGGACAGAAACTGTCGACCACTGTACCTAGAACGGACATTCTTTTCTTTTTCTTCAACCTGTGTGAAATATCAACAAATTTAATCATCAACTTCAGCATTGACACTTAATTTATTTTGATCTGACAAAATTTTGAAACAATCTCCATAAAAAAGTTTCATAGAACTTTTTTTTCTTTTATGCAAAAAGGAAATTTTGGAATCTAAACTATTCAGCCGAAAGATATTTTCATTTACCCAGTACTTAAAGCTCTTTTTTTTTTTATTTCTTACTACGATTCGACTTTGCAAACAGCAGCAGTCAAATAATCACCATCGTTTATATATATATTCGAACGTAGATGAAACAAAGATATGGCATACTGTAGATCAATATTGTATCATTTAAATACCATCATCAATATAAATGCAAACCAAAAAATCTTGAAGATTACTAAACCATATGTTTTGTATCAAACTAACAGTAAGACTACCTAACCTCTTAGCAAAAAATCTAGGTACAGAAGTTCGAAGAATTTTTACAATCTGCCTTTAAAATGTTATACCTGTTCTGGGTCAATTGTGTTGTAGATTTCTTCATCTCGAAGTAACGCACACATACTTAATGGTAGACTCTGATTGGCCATGGCTCGGGCAGCACGCCCATGTTCCCTGATAATCTCCTGTTCTACTGATAATGTCAGCTTTTCCTGTCAATATTATTTGTAAAATAATTATGCAAATTAATCTAAAAGCAAAAGTTTAATCAAGATATAAAAAAGATGGATTTGCAAAGGTATTTGTGGGAAATTCTTGGTAAAATTGAGGATTTTTCTTTTTCTTTTTTATATCATCAAGACCAATTCTTGAGGCGAGTTGGAAAGGGATATGCATTAATCATTGTAAAAGCAAATAGAGCAAATGTAATTCACTCAATTTTATCTCATACATTATACCATGACTAGGCAAGTGTGTGACACGTGTTAAATATCAAGGTCAAAGATTGAAAGAGAGGGTCATGGGTAAAACTTCTGTGTTTCACAATATCATAACTAATATAACCATTAAGGACACAATTTCCAATCTAAGTGTTAGAGATGACATGACAGACAGAAAGGATAACCCTTTCAGTACTGTCAAGGTATAAATAAGACATTCATGTCGTATCAGATAAAAAAGTTGGAGCAAAATTATTGAAAAGATACAAGATATATGCACTCAAAACTGAATAACCAGCAAGAGAGAGAGTTTTATGATTTCAATTGCTTTGGTTTGCTAAAACTTTGAAGCGAGTATCCATACTTACCCTCTCTATGAGGTGCTGTAGACGGAGTTTGTACCTTGCCTTTTCTTGTTCCACAAACAAGTCCCGCATTGTACCCGTCACAGAGTTAGGGGGAGACAACTGAAACATAAAAATTTACAGCTATATCTTCAAAACTTGACCAGATTTTATAAATATATCTTCACTATGTTTAATGGATAAGCTATCCAGAAAAACCCAGAAACATTAGTTGGAGAAGATTAATCACAGAGTTAACTCCTAAAACCTCTGTAATCTGTTTAAACTAGCCCACATTCATATCCTATGATGAAACTCAATTAAAATCTGTTGTATTTGATGCAGACTCTTCAGAAAATTGTCATATATCCTTGGCAACCTTTTGATCCATCTATAAAAGTATTCTGTTATTTTATCCAAAACAACCCATCAAACAAAAACAACCCAGATTTAAGGTGAATGCAGATTCATTTTTTATTGTTATTTTGTTTTGATTTAATGCAGTTTACAGTCCACACATTGATATCCGTGAAATCGGAGATTGGATTCAGTAAATGATATTTGTTGCTAATCTAATTTCGCGCTACCTTTATGTTGCAGCATTTCTGAGTCATAAATGTCAATTACTGAAATGCAGGACACTCGATTGAACCCTCACTTATGTTTCAAGATCTACACTGACCTATGAGTATAGTAAGAGTCTCCATTTCACCTATTAACGTGACATTAGCTTCAGAATTCTGATAATACATAGACTCATGTAACATTTCATCATTACTGAAACTTTTTGTGTTGAACATGCTTGATTTGAATACATTGGATGAGTTTTGTGAAGTTCTGATTTTTCTTCTTCCATATAGCAATTAATTTAACACAGATGATTTAAACACTGTTGAGTTGCGTTTGTGTCAAATATATTTTGTAGTCCACAAATATTGTTGACAGAACTTGTTACCCTGATAGATATAAATGGGAGTATGATATTCCTGTTACTTTAAGTGTTACCAAGTTATAAGTACAATATTTGTATTAGTTAAGGTATAAATTTTCACTGAGTAATATGTAATGTGTATGAGAGAGGGTGCATATCCACGTGTGTGCTGCAATGACAAATGACATTTTTCTATAGTCATACCCAGACTGTTTATTCAAATAAAATATTTTCTTTTCTGTTACTTATTCATTACTGTCACTCTATGCCATGAGATACGTATCAGGTAACAATAAATGAAAGTAGGGTCAATCTTCATTGCACAATGTCTCAATTCATAGAAATATGGCTAAGTCAAACCAGTGGATAAGTTGAATATTTCATTTTCGTAACAAAATCTGTCCCTAATGGTAAAATACATGATCAATAGATAATCAAATTCAATTCACAAAATGAAGTATCCATTAAATAAGATGCATTTTTGTTGCTTTAGCGATAGAGTAACTGCAAATAAAAGGATTTGAGAAAACATGGGTTTAAATCACACAGATTACATAGGGATTTCATCCTTACCATAGGAACAGACAGAGTGCTAGCATTATTGCCCTGCAGGACATAGCTACAGCTGACCATCAAGTAATCCTTAAAGCCCTTTGGGGCATTTGGCTGTACCACTGACCACTGCTTATGTTTCATAGCCACCTGTAAAGGAAATCAACAGAAATAGAATCTTCACACACTGCATCTACGGGCAAAACTTGCATAATTGTAGATGAATTCAAATCCTGTTGATTCACTGATAGACAATTTAGCATTGAGCTGCTTTCAGTTGACATTCTTTGTTAAATTCTAACTGGTTGCATGTGGACTTAAAGCAGCTCAATGCTCATGTTTATCATTTTACAGAACTCTATTATAAGGGGAGACAACTTCAATTTGTTTACATTACTTGTAATATTCATAATCTGTTGCTTGTTGGCGATACACAACTGACTTGGGTAAGGTTACACTTTAACATAATAATGGTGAATATCAAGCTGTTAGTTCAGTAAGAGGTAATCTCTACAGGACTTCAGATTACAAACTATATCCTGAAGGCTAATCTCAAATAAAAGATTTGTTTTTTTAATTCTAGGCATTGTCTGACATTGTCAGATCATTTCTTTTCCTATTTTTCTTGGTGTAATTTTGTTTACTTTCTTTATTTTTGTCTATTTTAGAAAAAAATGCCTGTATGTGATCATAATTGATTAAAAAATGAGACACTGAAGAAATAAACAAAGTAACACAGTTCATCATCTGCTGACACAAAAGCAAATATCTGAGAACAACATACACTGTACATATAGATGTATGTACCACATGCATGTCATAAGGAACCTTCATATGAACTAACCTGCTTCCTTATGGAGAGATACAATTCAAATGGATTAGGTGGTTTTTCATAGGACACCAGTGGTAGTTGGACTGGAGGAGGAGGTTCTGGAGGTGCAGGTTGGGCCACAGCATTTGTGTCTATCTTTGATCGTAATTTCCGCTTTCTTGGGTGTATGTCTAAATTTTCCTCCTCCTCTTTGTTGTTCTTTGAAACACCTGTTGTTGTTTCTTCTTTTTGTAGCGTATCATTGTTCCCTGTCAATAAAAAATGATAATTTTGTTACAGAATCTCATGTAATATCAACATAATTATCAAGCAATTGTACAAGGAATATGAAACGAAATAATTGAAATTTTTAATTTTCAGAGACATAAAAATGTAAAAATTGAGTTTGTAATTTAGCAAATATATTCATGCAAACAATTTACACATGAAGATATGGCCGAATAGACCATGAGAAGATTAGCATATCAGTGTCATAAAATACATCACAACAGTTAACATGTCTGTACACTATTCATAAATGTATTTGAAGCACAAAAGATATGAAAAATGACAAATTACTTTCAATTCTAGAACCATTGGAAAATTTATTTGAATTACTAACTTCTCATTAATGATCAAGAGGTATAAAATTTAACTGGCCAATATTCAAGGCCAGTAGATATTATGTTATGAGCTGTTTTTACATCCTTGAAGGATAACTGGATGGAAAGTTTTCCCAATATCTCAGAATATCAGCTACACAAATCATTTTAACATTCCCAACATGAAACCTTACAACTTGCTTTAGAGTCTTTTCTTTGACACACAATTTTATAAATTATACCTTGCTTTTCCTGCTTATCTCCCTTCTCTTGTTTTTCTCCTTTGTGATGTTTTTCATGTGATTGTTTCTGCTGCAAGGCAGCTTGTGTATGAGATCGTAATGTTCGTGTAGATCGCTGTGTACTTTCCTTTTCCTCCTCAACTTTTTCTTTCTCCTTTTCACTTTCTTTCCCACTACCACTTTTGACACTATTGGAATCTTTATCCTTTTCCTGGTCTTTCTCTTTGTCTGTCAGTAGACAAGGAGGCTGTGGATTTTCCTCTGAAAAATCCACGGAAACAGACTGTTTACAATTTTCTAACACAGAGACTTTATCCTCTTTATTTGAATCTTTTTGTGCACTTTGTTTATCATTATCCTTCGATGCTGTGTTACTATCCCGCGATGATGGCCGTGAGGAAGCAGGACTACTTGTAGAAGGATTAGTCAACTCCTGTGGGAGTGTTGTCATGGGGATGGGCTGATTCATTTGTGATGATTTTGCTGCTGCTTCCTGTTCCTGTGTGGGATTTATCACATATGGAAGTGCATGCTTTGAGGAGTGTGACTTTACAAAAACTGACTCCAAGTTAGCTGTTGAGGTTGAAGCCTTAGGAGGAATAATGATTTTTAATGGTGGTACTTTTGGCGACGTTGGTCTACTGTAACTTTCCCTGCCATCCTTATCAGATTTTGGAGAATTGTTATCTTGGTCTTTCTCCGATTTAGTTGGACTCTGCCTGCCCTCTGATTTTGAAGAGGACAAGAAATTGCCCCACTCATCAATGTTTTTAGGAGAGGAGGACGAGGAAGAAGAAGAACGCAACTCCCATTTTAGCCCTGAGGAAGAGGCGGGGGGATCACTACTCCCTGACCCCGCCCCAATGTTATGACCACTTCCACTGTCCTGGGAGCCGTTAATACTACTCACTACCATCCCACTAGACACACTGTTCCTCCGTGGAAATGACACTGTACTAGTGGTGACAGGAGCTGTCCGTTCCATTCCTAATCTTTCCGACGAAGAACTCACTACTGGTACAACTACACTTTGAGAATTAGTTAACTCACTGATGTTTTTATCGACCACAGTTGTAAAGAGAGATGACAATGCAGACGAAGATGAAGTTACCGGGTTTGTGTTGGAGGTGCTGACTACAGAGTTGGTAGTAGTGGTGGTGTTTACAAGAGACTTGTGTCCAACACCATTACCAGGTCCTGGATCTGACACAGACTCTTTTAACTTGGTACGATTATTTGAGTCACTGCTATGCGGAATGTGTGTAGACTGATCCCCAACACTCCCCCTCCTCCCACTCTGTGACAACGTTACCAATGAGGATGTCAGTGACGATGATAATGAGGATGACATAGATGATATAGAGAGGGGAGGGGGATCTTTCAGTTCACTATCACTCTGTTCATTATCACTAAAATGTGGAGAAAAAGGTTGAGTATCCATCATTTTCTGATGGAATTTTGTTGGAGGAGGAGGAGCTGGGTTGACTATTGACTCAACATTTTGACCATCTGGCTCTAAATTACTGAGCCTCTCAAACTCACCCATACCAAGTCTTAATTCAAGTTCAACACTAGAGGAAGAAGTCACTTTTGTTTTACTACCTGATATAACACTAGTCAATGGCGTGTGATCCTCCACCACACGACTCCCAGACATATTTCCCTGGCCTGAAATTAGACCCATTCCTTCTCCAACATTGAGCCCCCCATGCCCGGTGAGACCACCAAGCCCTATTCTGTCTTCTCCAAGTCCTATATGTCGACTATGACCAGCACGTCTATCAGTACCAATTCCAACATGTCCCAATCTATCGGCACCTAGTGCCGCAGCATGTGCCAATCGCTCACCACTTAATCCTATTCTGTCTCGTGCTAATGCACTAGACTCTAGGCCATCTTCAGTGTCCATTAGATTGACTCCAACTTTTTCCAAAGTCCTAACACTGTCAAGTTGTGGGTCATACAAGTCACTGTCCACACTCGATACTGGGCTATCGACAGACAAAAAATCCTTGTGTTCACTTGGCCCCATTGTAACACTGTATGATGTAAAATGAGGTTCCTTTGATGGTTTATCATGAAATTCATCAGCTTGTTCACGCTGAAACTTTAGAAAAAGACGACGGGGTGATGACATTTTCTCTGACTTTGCCATAAGTGACCTTCTGCTGCTTAGTGCAGCTTGATTGGAACTTCCATCTTGTTTTGGTAGTCTTGACAGATAGTCTGTAACACAAAAGAAAACAAAAATATTAAAATATATCTCATTACTACCACTTACACAGCTGGACAGAAAAAATAATTTTGCAAAGTAATATTTTCACAAAAACTTCCATTGCAAATACTTAGATACAGCTATAACATTTAATGTAAAGTCCAAATATAAACTTTGTAAGATACCTGACCATGACAGACAGTATACAACTGTAAATCAGATAGTGAGTTATCTATTTAATATATGCCTACAGATACTCTACAGAAAACAAGATACTGTTAACGCAGAAACCCTAACGTAGGCAAAAGTTATTTCATATTTGCATTTCCTTCCATGATTATAACAAACTCTGCAAAAACATTACATCTAACCTTTTTCAAGTTAATTTAGGAAAAGTCAAACCACTACCCACAATTCCCCTCGGCCTAACTGCATTACAGATGCCCTAAAGACCAAATATGGTTGTCATCATTCCTATCTCTGGATACTAACCGTCGGAATCAGTGTTTCTGTTATCCTCGTCTTTAAGTGATGAGTTACTCTCAGGAGACGTTGGTGAGCGGGCATCGTCAAGACTTGAGCTGTCACTACTAGAAGTGATGATCTCCTTCCTCAACAGTTTGACCATGTCTGGTGTGGCAGCCACATCCATGGGAGTCTTTCCCTGCAAGTTTGGCTGTAGGGGATTGGCGCCATGTTTCAGAAGAAGCTCCACCAGCTGTCAGTACCAAACCAGAAACAGTGTAAGGAACTTTGTTTTTTATACATTATTGTTTTTTTCATCATCAACCAAAGTAATTTGTATTTAATATACATTCAACAAGCTTCCTTATAAAAACTGGTCATAGCTTTATTTTGACAGGGTTTGATGCAAAATTCTTTTTCACAACTCTTTCTGTTTTTTGTTTGTTGTTTTACACAACCATTATGATCCAATTAATCATATTTCACCTTACAGCATTAATAAAGATAAACATCCTCGGGTTTGTCAACCAGAGTTAGTCCAGGCTCTTACTCAATTAACTTTAAATGGATATTCCAAAGTTGTAAAATTTCCTGCTGTTCAGAACCTTTTATAAACTCACTCTAATGACATTTCTGTGGTCAAATTGGAATGGTGAAATTGGTGGGAATACTTCCAGCAAATCCGTCTGAGTATAGCACATTGGGAAATATCATTGGATCATAGATTTTATGCAGGGTATTGGATAAATACACAAGTGTGTATGCTATTCACTAAAATTTCTGCTAAGGTTACAATTTTATTACTTCCTTAGGCTTTTTTCTGTAGATTTATAATTTACACAGATGTTACTTTCTGTTCACAACCCAAAACTATTATGACGCAATCAGTGCTACACAAACATTTGTAAATCAACCTAACTAGACTATATAGAATTTCCAAAACTTAAATATCATGTGTTTGTTTAAAAGGTAACTTTGAGGATACAATTTCCATTTGAAAATAAGTAGATGATTTTGCAAATTTCTTCAAAAGCATTGCATAAAATCCTAACTTGTGCAGAATATCGCTTAATTACTGTCAACTAAAGAAATAAAACCTAATATAATTTTTATGTATCATAAGTTGTTCTTTATAAACTGTGTATAATGGTCGATAACCCAGATCATCCTAATACTGTAATTAAAAGAGAACACTGGTTTCCTGGGTTGGATATCGTTCTTCAATTTTGCAGACAGAAAAGTTAAAAAAAAAACCCTGATAAATTATGTTGATAGGAAACAAAGCACACACATATCACTTTTTTACGACTTTTGAGAAAGAAAATGAAAACCATCCTTCCTGAGGTGAGCTTTCAAGAAAAGTTGAACCACATTAACAATACTGTACATATCACAATTATTTGACTGTATAATGTCACAATTGAGGAGGAATATATTTCAGACTATCTAATTATGATGGTCTGTAGACAAGAAATATCAAAGAGTGAGATATAGAAATGATGTCTACCTATAGAAACTCTGCTGAAAACAACAAACTTTAATTGCAGAAACCCTAGTGCTGGCAAGATGTTAAATTATTGTAGTAACACCACAGTATTGTTGACCATCAACAAAACTTTATAGAAGTGAGTTACTTGCCTTTCCATGACCGTTACATGCAGCATCATGAAGTGGTGTGTCGTTTTCCAGACCCTGGACGTTGACATTTGCTCCAGCCTTTAACAGCTGTTTGGCAATGGGTAGAAAGCCTCTATTACAAGCCTCATGTAGTGCTGTCCATCCTGGATACACAGAAACAAACATAGGTCTATAAGATTAAGAAAATTTGTCCAACTTGTAGCTTATCAAAACTACCAAACAATCTTTCTAGTATCTCTCTGTATCTTAGCAATCTTCCCGTTATCCTCAAAGAAATGTCTCGAAACTAACCTAAAATGAAAATTTTAAACATTTTGGTTTATAAAATGTGACATTTCGATTAGTAACACATCAATGATATTGTTTAGAAGATATAACAAATAAGATTTAACGTTGGTGGACCAGAAAAATCTACCTATACCGTATCAAGATGCGAAAATATAGGAAGACTACATAAACATTTATCTATAGAGTGAGAAAAGATAAGTATAGTCTACAGTATTTTATGTAGAAATTTGGTCCAGATGTATTCAAATCTTTAAATCCTTTGAATTATATGCAATGCAGTAGTCTATATCTTACTGTGCCGTTATAATTATCAGCTCAATAAAGTAGTATTCTGGTGTAGGATACCAGACCATGACAAACAGTATACAGCTGTAAATCAGATAGTGAGTTATCCACTTAATGTATGCCTACAGATACTCTACATAAAACAAGAAACTGTTAACGTAGAAACCCTAACGTAGGCAAAAATACTGCAGAAGTCATTCCTCTCCAATAGTTTTAACATGTCTCTCCCTTTAAATAATCAAAATCAGAAACATAAATTGTAATGGAATTCTTTTCTCATGTAAGTTTCTGCATTTTATTGTAACTGACTTGTTCCTGACTATATCACTAACAAGAGGCCCAAGGGACCTGCTAACATCGCTAATTTAGCCATTTAGCAACAAAGATTTTCAGTTATGACAAATGATTTCTGTAAAAATTTTCCTATTGGGTCCCGGCCTTGTGGTAAAACATAAGTTAGATTCACTGTTCATCAAAACTGCAGCAAAACCGTCTGAGTACAGCACATTGGGAAATATCATTGAATCATAGATTTTATGCAGAATATTGGATAAATACACAAGTGTGTATGCTGTTCACTAAAATTTCTACTGAGGTTACAATTTTATTACTTCCTTAGGCTTATTTCTGTAGATTTATAATTTACACAGATGTTACTTTCTGTTTACGACCCAAAACTATTATGACGCAATCAGTGCTACACAAACATTTGTAAATCAACCTAACTAGACTATATAGAATTTCCAAAACTTAAATATCATGTGCTTGTTTAAATGGTAACTTTGAGGATACAATTTCCATAGGAAAATAAGTAGATGATTTTGCAGATTTCTTCAAAAGCATTGCATAATAATATTCTGGTGTAAGATACCAGACCATGACAAACAGTACACAACTGTAAATCAGATAGTGAGTTATCCACTTAATGTATGCCTACAGATACTCTACAGAAAACAAAAAACTGTTAATGCAGAAACCCTAACGTAGGCAAAAATACTGTAGAAGTCATTCCTCTCCAATAGTTTTACATGTCTCTCCCTTTAAATAATCAAAATCAGAAACATAAATTGTAATGGAATTCTTTTCTCATGTAAGTTTCTGCATTTTATTGTTATTGACTTGTTCCTGACTCAATCACTAACAAGTGGCCCAAGGGGCCTGCATTGCTACCATCGCTAATTTAGCAATTCAGCAAAAAAGATTTTCAGTTATGACAAATAATTTCTGTAATAATTTTCCTATTGGGTCCCAGCCTTGTGGTAAAACAGAAGTTAGATTCACTGTTCATCAAAACTGCATCAGTCTCAACATGGACAATATACTTGTACGGAAAAAGGATTTTTTGAGAACTTACATTACCCCAATTGGGCCCCACCCTCCTGCCCCTTCACCACAGAATATTTTAGCTTAAATCTGAACAAAATCCAAGAATTCCTACTGGAGAAGTAGGATTTCAAAGAATTCACTTAATTTCTTTTTTGTGTCTTCTCCAAAGAGGTCCAAGACTCGCTGTTTATACAAAATTGGTTCCTTTTCATCCAGGAATGGTCCCTACCAAATTAAGGCAATATCAATTCATTCCTTCAGGATGAGGATTTCAAACTTTCAAAATTTCACCTTTTGGTCCCGCCGCTAAACCCCATGGGGCCAAGAACCAACATTTATATAAACTTAGTTCTTTTCCCCAAAGGATGCTTCTGACCAAATTTGGTCAAAATCTGTTAAAGCTTGACCAATAACTGATCCTTCTTTGAAAACTTGGAAGTTCAACTGTCATTTTTCAAATCTGACTGGATTTTAAAGGCAAAGTGGAAGAACAATTATATACTTTTTCCTATCAATACATTAAACCACTACTGTTCAACATGTAATATGCTGCTAACCAGCAAAGTCGGCAACATTGACATCTGCTCCTGCTTTGATGAGTTTCTTGGTCTGTTTGATGTCCCCTTTGATTGCTGCGAGATGTAGAGGCGTTTCTCCCCGCTCGTTGCGCTTGTGAACTTTTTTGTCACCAGGAGTACGCTTTGGTCCTATCTGACTGACAGGCTGAGGTGAAGTTGGTTTAGATGTCGAATCTGTTAGGAACAATGAAGAAAATGAAAGTACATTCAATGAAATCCAATTTTCTGTTGTGATAATCTTATCATAAAAGCATAGCCCTTAGGCATCACAAGTGTTAGAGAGTAGCTCTTTTAAGACTAGAGTATGAGAATTAAAATCAGAGACTTGACATAATTACCTCACACCTTATAATTGCCTTTATTTTTTAATGGTCCTAAAATCAGAAGCAGTATTATTCCATGGACAAAATCTCAAATCAAGTGGAGGATTCATAACAAAACATAGTTTAGATTTAGATTGAATCAACTACAAAAATCTATTTGCCTCTTTACAAAACAATGGACATATCAAATTATATGATTATGTTTTTTTATAATCACCATTCAAGCAGTTATCATGGACTTAACACAGGTAATGAATTGATTCTGAAATAACATAATGCCATGTAGTGAGCACACTCACACTATTGAGGTTTCAGCAGATAATATTTGCTATATCAATGTCCACTATAACAGTATTTCACTCCTTCAAGTTTGTTATTTTTCTAAAGTTACAAAAAACTTCAGTGAGTATATTTGAGAACTTTTAAAAAATAACTAACGAGAGTAGAAGTATTACTATATAGAGATTTTCCAACGATGAATTGACCTGTTCTGTACCCAGGTATGTTTTGTTATTGATATTAGTTAAGATGTAACTGTATGACATGTAGTGAAATGCTGCTAATTAATAAACAAAACTGTCAATGTGTGACAATATACCCATCTAATACAAATCATAAAAAGTACTTCATGACTTTATCTTAAACTACAATATGTAATGATTATGCATTTTCATTTTGGCAAGTGTGTAAAGAACATTCCTTTTAAAAAATCACAATCATCCAATCAAAAGTTGTTGACAGTCTATTCTACTTGTGATATAAAAGTTAGTTTTAATAACAATGATTAAGTGGTGCATTAGGAATTGAATAAAATCCATCTCCTGTGACAAAAATATGGTTATAAGTGTTATTACCTAGACATAGTACACCACCAAAATATCCTCTGAGTGGTTTAATGTCAGGTCAATTTAATAACTATAATCACCTTGTGGATATATGCTTATCTACATTTTTCAATTACCTTGTGATGTCTCATCAGTCAGTCGCATCAGAAACAACATCTGCTGACGCTCCGATAGAGGGCCAGTGCGGGGAGACGTGATACCACTTGGATTCTTGGGATTGGGTGGGGCATTAGACGGAGTGGGTGAAGGTTCAGAATTCAAAGGCTTCTTCCTTTTTGGGGTAGCTTTCGTCTCTACAACATTAAAGTACAAAGTCATAACCTACTTATTTTCATAATCAAATCAAAATAAAAGAAATGCATAAACATTGTAATGCAGAAACAAATCCTGAAAAATGTAAAACAACATTAATTTTATAAGCTCACTTAATGGCAAAGAAAGATTGTATTTCACTGCGTGTGTCACCCTAACTTCTCAAATTATTATCTGTTAAAGTCAAATCAACCGAAACTCAATGGTTAAATAACCTGTATTTTGAAATTACAATGAATTTTATTGAGTGAAGCCAGTTTCCAATAAAGACATTACAGTGTAAAACAATTTTATGGTATGGTCCATTATAACGTTAAGGGACCTTGATAACTAAGAAAATTTAAGAGTTGACCTTTTTAACTTCAAGGTGAAGATCCGAAGTGCGTGGTTCAAAGTTATCTTCCCACAGAAGTTCTTCCTAAGTGCATGTAACAGGCCTCCTGTATGTTGTTCAGATTACACCTCAAAATGACCCTGACTGTTTAGAGGTGTTAAACCTGACAAACCATTTTACCATGCTGCTACATATGTACAGACAACATTATTTTGAAAAGATTTTTACTTACCTTCGTCTTCACAAGGACTGGATTCAGTTGCGAGTAGTTTTCGTTTCAGTGTTTTACTATCTGATTGGGGTGTCCGTACAAAAAGTGTCTTCTCCTAATGAAAATGGAGTATCAATGATTTAATATTCAATTTTTAATTAAAAGCCTCAAGTAATTTGATACATGAAATGGAATCTAATTCTATATCATAATTAAATTTTAGTATGACACAGGAAGGCTGAAAAAAAAAATTGACCTAGAAACATTTAGAAATCATGTATATGTAATTACCTAACTCAATTCAGAATTCGATTGAAATTGAGTTGACTAAGAAGTCTAGGTTGCTAGAGAAATTGTTTATCTGAAGTCTGTGAACAGAAAATAAAATTCACTGTTACCCACAAACATTAAGTAAAATCTTTCTTGTAATACTTTTTGAAAGATGGTGCTATCATTGTTAAATGATCTGGTGTGAAATTCCAAGACAACTTCAATGTCTATAGAGAGACATATTGTTTTTTTTTTTTTCAAAGATTAAACATGCACCATGTTAATGGACACCAAAGTCAGAAAGAAATGATAAGAATAGACAGATCCAAACATTGCTAACAATCACTTTTCATAGCTTTTATATTAATACTGTGCCATCATAGTGATTGAGGGAGAATATTAAATTACTGTTGCAGTGATATTCACTTTTACATGTTATGTATTCCAATTATAAACAATTTACCTTTCTAGGAGGTGATTTCTTGTCAGACATATCCGGCAATGACAACACTGAGTATTGTAAAGAAGGCATGCAGACTTCTTGACACTTGAACTTGGTTCTAGGTGACCAGACATTTGGCTTTCTTTGTTGCAACCGAGCAAATGTGTTTTTTGTCATTTATCCTTGGCATCTGAGAAAGAAAAAGAGTTGAAATTGATTGCATAATTTTATGCAAAAGTTTCAGGCATAACAAACACGACAAACATATAGCCCTAATGTTTCAAATTTACCTGCAGTCCATGCTTATAAAAATATAAATAAAATAAATTTTATGCTCAAAAATCTCTGAAACACAGCTGTATCCTCTTATGGAAAGAAAAGATCCTACAAGGTGGAAGTATATACCAGTTTGTGTACCTTGAAGATACGTAGCTAATGATAGGTGGGGCTTTTAATTACTTAAATTACAGTTCATTCAAATTGATTAGCTTTAACAGCTACAGGACCAATTATAAAGGAAATATTCTGATGTTTTTTTTACTGCCTCACTAAAATATCTCAACAGATTTATACTACATGTCCAATCAGACGACCATACTGGCACACTTTCCAGAGACTGTGATTCATATCAACATGCAGTTAATGGCAATTTTTACTATTGTTTTGATGTGTTAAACTATAAACTGTTATTACTGTATTCAAACCCACATATTGCTTAGAATAAAGGATTAAATTATGTACAAGTATTTAAATTAATCTTAAGGGTAAAAAAACTATTATGATGTTCCAGCAATTTTAAAAGCTTTAGTATATTATTGTACAATTATCAATATGACAAGTAAATTTACACAATCACCACTTGATGCATATTAATCATTTACAGACTTGTATATCACATACATTCTATTTTATTATCACCAGAATGAAAAATAAAATATAACCACCACAACAAATAACTGATACTAACAAAATAATACTTAAGTGTATACATTACACACATATTATAACTACAATATGATGATGATCTCATACAGGAAGTGAACAATGATTATCTCCCTTAATATGATGAGGAATGATGTCTGACAGCCATAGACTGAGTGCACTTGACCTTATTTTCAGACACAAAATTAAATCGTCTAAGAAAAGTCATTTTATTTGAATCAATTTGGTCCAGAAAATGAATTGAATGCTGATGGTTAGCAAAGTACTAATGTACTATGATTAAATACAGATTTAAATGTTCAGCAGTCTGTAATTATCATGTACGTCTGGGTAATGTATTACTCTGTGACATTAAACTATTATGTACATATCAATAGGCGTAGCACAAAAGGTCAACAGCTGAGGTCAGCCAGATAGAGCTATATGATCACATCTGTAGAAGGTTGACAATATAATAGTGTACTGTTATTGTTGGCCACGACAAAAATATACATTAAAAATATTTCTAGGATAAATTACAGTTACGGTACAATGTCCCAGTACATAACGAAAAGAGGCAAGCATCACAAAATGTGTGTTACTTACCAAACAGATGGTTAATTTAAAGCCCTATACCCAGGTGTAGTTGCTATTTCTTTTATCAAAAAAATTGTTTGTTGTGCACTGATATTAGTGCATTTGCTTGCACTTAAGCAATGTAATTTGAAAAAAATGAAAAAAAAATACTGCACATGTTGATACACTAAGCATCTCACATAACAGATAAATGAAGCCAACAGATCTATTATTGTCAGTATTTATGATCACTGCGGGTTCTCTTTACTACAGCAGTATACCATCATTAGATTATGAACTGAATACCATAGTGAATTTTCATCTATCATACTCTACCAATGTTCAATAAATTATCTAGGAACCTTTTTATTTCTTCTGCACTAATACCAGTAAAAGGCTAAATGTATTCACTTCTCAATCTAAATCTGATCCATGTATTAAATCTACAATGACATACCTCTATTTGAAAGTTTTATCACGTATCTGTGTATTTATAGCAATATGCAAGTAACATAAATGTCAAGCTAAAGTATAGGTCACCAACTAATTGTAAAATGTCACAATGTTAACTACAACACATAAGGCATGCAATACACATTACAATAGCACAACTTGACCAAAACCATCGAATACTGAAGTAGAAATAACAAACTTCAAACCTGCACTGCAAACTAATGATTTCAAATAGCATTATATGTATATATTATATTGATAGGGCTTTACATTATCGCATTTCTAACCACGTAGAGGAATTGCTTTCTGGCAGAAATGGGACTTGTAGACAGCTAAATGAGGAGATGAAACATGTCCCTTATGTAGTACTCCCAAAATACAATTTCTACACCAGTAGCACTTTCTGTTAACAAGATTTCATCATCACTGGGAAAGTAAACCAAAAAAGCCTCATTTTATTTTTTCTTTAAGTATAAACATGAAATTTTTAGATAACTGTTTAGGCATAGATTAGATATACTCATACAGCAATACAATTTAATTGGTGCCTATGAACTTTATGTATATATCTTTAACACTTAAGTCAAAGAACACTGAAAATCTGTCAATATACTTCCAAATCTAAAATTATTACTTCTTTGGAAAATGAAAAGCAACAGACATCAGCATGTCTCCATGAATCCAAGTCAGGAATTGCAAGAGAACATAACATAAACCAATTGATAACAACAATATGGAAAAACTTTAAAGCTTTAGTTATAAATACTGCGTGAAAACCACCAGGGAAAGCTTGAGTCCATGACTCAAATATGTGAATCCTAAAAATCACTGAATCATTATATTTTGATGAAAGATGATTTTGAGGTCAAGTTTCAGGGCGAAGGGCAGTCAACATTGAATTAGAAGCAGACCTCGTCTTTGGACTCATTAATATTTAACAGACAAACATTACTACTGAGTAGCACTATGTACTCAATTAGAGCTCAGTTATTTAATCATTAATTAAACAGTACTATAGTACTACTAACTCAATCACAGCTCAATGTTTATGTTTGGTATTAGGCAAACAGTACTATAGCACCTTTACCTCAATCTGACCTCAATATTTACTTTATTATTAAAAACAACAGCACTAGCCTACTATTAATTCAATCAGAGCTCAATGTTTACTTTTTTTATCAGACAACATTACTATACTGACATGCTCAGAGGTCATGTTAACAATCAGGAATGATAAAACAACACTGCACATGTCTAAAATGATCACACACCATCCTTGAGATTCCAGGGGTTACAGCCACTAAGGATCTATACAACGATTGTTAGTAATCATAACCCTGAATTGTAAGGATGATCACACATTCAATGTGCAGTAGCTATTCAAATTATGAGCAAAATTAGCATATCACACAAAATTGAAAGTTGCTCATTATGGGACATGTAGATCACCTGACTGATGGTAATTACAGAAAGATAGTAATTGAGATGATTTCTCTAAAATAATGCCATACAATTGGACAAGTACAAGAATATATAAAGTTGGACCTATGAACAAATTTACGTCGAGTTTTAATAGTTCCAAGGTTTTTCTCAGGAAGCTGAGAAATGTACCAGTCAGTGCCGTTGTGATTGTGTGTTTGAGCAAGAGGGCAAGATACTTCATCACCTTTACTGCTCTTGATCAATGATGGCATGTAAAGAGTCTCCTGTATGTTGTTTATTTAAGTAGTCACTATACAAGGAAACCCTGTCTCAAAATGACCTTACTGTTCACAGGACAATGACCAAGTAAACAAACCAAATTTACAATGATTCAGAAGAGAGATATAGTATCTTTATACATATAAACATACACATGAACATCTGACAAATGTCAATTTGTCATAATAGTACAGGACCTGGATATTGACCTTAAGCCTTGGAGTATCACTGGTTGTGATTACTTTCCACATAATTCAATGTGAAGTTGGTTATGATATTTCAGTACCACCATAATATGTATACCAAGTTCCTATTACCTGTGCAAAAAAATATTCTACATCATAAAATTTGCTACCTTCCTGAAGTTTAAGAAATAAAATCTGTATGTGTATTGAAGACAATTTCATGAGGAAAAGCAATTGTGCACTCAGTTTATATCTTCAAAATTTTATCAATTAAAAGCTACTAGAAAGTAATCTCATTTTAGCATTGAAATGCAAATGCTAATGTCAATAAATATCAAAACTGCAGTCTGATCCATTCCATTTCTATGATTACAAAGTGTTGATCAACATGACAAAAATGCAGGTGACATAAGTAGCCAAGATGGTTTACAGCAGTATAACCTTTTTGGTTTGATTCTACTGATAATTGCAAAAATGTCCAATCTGCTGTAACTGTTTGTTCTACTAATACTAAAACCACAATTACTGTACAACCTATCAAAATCAGACATTACTTTGTTAGCAAGCATATATTACAGCAAACACACTAAACAAAAACATTGGTGATTTAATGGTGAACAGTCAAATTCATAGATAAATATAATGGAAATAGGTAGAAATATAGTACTATATCATCCTGTATTTGATACTTTTGTAAAGAGTTTAAAATAACCAATGTGTGGTTGTTATTAAGTACTGGTGATTAATCATGAATTATGATAATAATAGTAGAAGTCTGTGTATACGTGTAATTGGCCTATATATATCCATGACTGGATATCGTGTGAACAATAAAGCATTTGATCTCTATCGTTTTCGTAAAGCATTTGAGATATCACATCGCTTTCCATATAATTCCAAAATGTAACCACAATCATGTTATTCAAATATCAATATTATCTGTATCATAAAAGCCGATTCAACCTCAACTTCTCAAATTCAATTTTGCATCGAATCCAAGTTATCATAATGTACATTGGCCAAATCTGGAACGAACAAGATTAGAAACTCGCTGCCATTGAGAGGTTGTGTGGCACCGACTACATATTCTGACTTTTATTTAATCAAATAAAGTAAATACGTTCACTGTATAAGAAACGACTATTCACGTGTAAAATATGACGATGGTTTAGAAAGGACATGTATGGAATGTCCAAACGAACAGAAATACTGTAACGAAAGTGCATGCATTCTTCAGGCATGTGCTCCAAAAAACTAATGTATTCGTCATATTTGTAGGGATTATCATGTATATCGATAGGATTTCATTTATCGCATATATTCAATATGTGACCTGATTAT